AAGCTTGTAAATATGGTATCTGGAAAACAAAAGTAAACGTTGCTGTCGATTTTGATTCACGGAGGCTTTTCTTGGCTGCAGTCTCTGCAGAAGCAGATTCCAAGGCCTGTCTTCCAAGGTGCCCTGGGGTAGGTTTGAACCATCAACTTTTAGGTTAGTAACCCAATCAAACTATGTATTGCATTGGGCAGACCCACTGCAAGAGACCTCTTTAAAGTGTTAAAGAGCCAAAATGCCACTTTGAAGACTAAAATGCGCTTGACCCAAGCCATCATAGTATCAATCACCTCATTTGCATGTGAAAGCTTGACGGTGAATAAGGAAGACCAAAGAAGAACTCATGCATTTGAACTGTGGTGTTGGCGAAGAAGTAAATGTACCATGGACTGCCAGAAGAACTAACACATGTCTCTTGGAAGAAGTACAACTAGAATGGTTAGAAGCGAGGACGGTGACGACATGTTATCAGGAAGGACCAGTCTTTGCAGAAGTCCGTCATGCTTGGTGAAGGGTCAGTGACAAAGAGGAAGACCCTCAATGCGGTGCACTGACACAGTGGCTGCAGCGATGGGCTCAAGCACAGCAGGGACTGTCAGGCTGGGAGGGACCAGGTAGCGTTACGTTCTGTTGTGCACAGGGTCAGTACCCGTTGACACTAACTGGACAGCGCCTAACAACAACAGCTGATGGAGAGCTGGCAAGATGATCCTGGATTAACTGGCTGGGCTCAGTGTAATCACCAGTTAACCAGCTGCCCTCGAGTCAGTTCCAGCTCCTGGTGACCCCACGTGTGTCAGAATAGAACTGGGCTCCAGAGGGTTGTCAGTAACTTGAGTTTTCAGAAGGAGATCACCAGGCCTTTCTTCTGAGGCAGCTCTCAGTGGCCTCAAACCGCTAAGCTTTCAATCAGCAGCTGAGAGCATTCACTGTTCACACCACCCAAGGACTCCAATACCCAACCACTGCCATAGAGTTGATTCTGACTCAACAGCGTCCCTAGAGGACAGAGTAGAATTGCCCCAGAGGATTTCCAAGGCTGTTGATCTTTACAGAAGCAAAGCCCAAACCAAACCCACCTGGAGTTCATTCTGACTCACAGCGCCCCTAGAGGACAGAGAATTGCCTTACAGTGTGTCCAAGGCTGTCAAGCTTTACGGAAGTAGATTGCCTCATCTTCCTCTCTGGGAGCAGCTAGAAGGTTTGAACCACTGACCTGGTTAGCAGCCAAATGCCTTAACCCAAGGACTCAAGACCCATAAATGTGAGTTTCTCCCTTGCTCCCGCTTTACAGATATGAAAACTGAGGCTCCAAGAAAGTCACTTGTTAGTGTCTTGGAACTGTATGTGAAGGGGACGGACCCATGTCCCTTCTCTGTGGGAAGTTTCAGTTTGTCTCTTAATCTCCGCCCCCCACACACACACCATTTTCGGTGAAAACCACCATGAAAGAGCTTAGAAAATTTATTCTTTTTCTTTTCCTTTGAAATCACACAAACAGGCAGGGAAGTGGGACACAGCACGGGTGGAGGGATGTGGAAGCCATGGGGGGTCCTCCAGCCCCCAAAACACCCCAGTTCCTCTGCTGCAGTCTCTCAGCAGGCCTCCCCAAAGAGTAAGGAGTGGAGGGAGGGGTCCCCCAATTATCCTAAGCTCAGAATCCAACTATAAAGTGCAGAACACAGAGAGAGTGGTGGGCTGGGGGCTTGGGCTTGGGAGGGGTGCGTCTGCTCTCATTGGTAGAAAAATAGACCTGCCTGGGTGTGGGGGTTTGACTTTTTAATTTTTTTGCATAATTGGAGATGGATTGGAGCAAGGTGGTCTGAGGAGAAGTGCTTCTGGCTCCCAACTCTCTTTGAGGACTGAGGGACACAGCCTGGAGAGGGGCTGGCAGTGCTGTGGTGATGGGGTCCCTTTAATTGGCTCCTGGCCTCAGAATGCCACCTTCCCAGCCCCTGAGAACTCCAGGGGTTGTGGTGGAAGACATTGCAGAGTGGAAGGGGTTGGAGGGAGCAACTTCCCTGCAAGTCCCAGAGGCTTGGCTATGCTGAGGATGTGTGAGGGACTAGGGGTGTGTGAGGCGGGTCAGCATCCATGCAGGGAGTGGGAGGTGCAACCCTTCCACTGCTGCCTGGCCCACGCTGAGTCAGGGCCATCGGCCAAATCCCTTGGGTGTTCTGGAGCTGGGAAGCCAGGACCTGAACTTCCCTTGTAGGCTCCAAGACCATGGGACCGTGTGTCATGGGGCGAGAGCTCTGGTGTGTTGGGGCTGGGGGTACGTGGGATCCAGGACCCTGTGACCAAGCTCCTGGGATCTAGGATTTGGGGTCTGAGGGCTCAGGACCCATGACCTGGGTGATTCAGATCCAAATCCAGGGTTCAGGGAGTCGGGACCCAGTGCCTGAAGCGTTGGGGTCACACTTCCCTGGATGAGGTTCCAGAATCCCATGATGGGGTCAGCGGGGCTGCCATGCACAATCTGGGACTGGTGGTGGTGGCAGGACCCAGATCCAGTTGCTGCTGTGCTGTTGGGCTCTCCTGCTTATGGTTTTAGGAGCCAGAATCCAGTGCGTGGGGCTTGGTGAGCTGGGATCCACTGCTCGGGAGTTGAGAATGTAGTGGTTGACATGTAGGGACCCAGCAGTCCAAGCATAGGGATCCGGGATCCAGTGGTCGAAGCATAGAGACTCAGGAATCCAGTGGTTGGAGTGGGGGTACCTGGGATCCAGTGGTTGGGGGTTGAGGGTGTAGTGGTTGAAATGAAGGGACCCGGCAGTCCAAACACATGGAGGTGAGATCCAGTGGTCAACCACAGGAACTCAGGAAACCAGTGGCTGGGCCCCGGGATCTAGGCTTTACACTGTCAGCATCCAGTGACTGAGGTTTCTTGATCGATAGAATCCAGGGGCTGAGCCTGGAGATCCAGAGCCTGAAGTATGGGGATCTGGGGTCCCATGGCAGGGTTGGGGGATCGAGGACCCAGTGTGGCAATGGGTACACTGAATCTGACGCCTGCAGAAGCTGGGGTATGGGTGTTGGGTTTGGGAGTATGTGCTCTTGAGGCTGGGGTATCAGGACCTGTTAGCTGAGTTGGTTAATCAGTGGTTAGGACATGGTGATCCAGAAACGAGGGATATGGGGTGGGACCTAGTAGACAGGAGGTAGGGAGCAGCATCCAGTGATTTGGAGAAATCAAGATTAAAGGGCTGGACTGTGGAGGACCGTTGATCTAGGGGTTAGGACATCAGACACGAGTTGCTTGAGTGTGGCTCTCACAGTTGGGTGATTGGGTTCAGGATCCAGAGCTGGGGTAACGGGACCTACTGGTTGAAGTGTGGGGATCCTGTGACTCAGTGATTGGGCACAGGAGCCTAGGATCCTGGACTTGGGGTACTAGGATCCAGTAGCTGAAGTGTAGAGATCCAGTGGTCTTAGGGGGGCAGATGTAGGATCCAGTGGTTGGGCTCTCAGTTTCCTAGTGGCTGAGGTATGGGGGATGTCATAGTTGGGGTGAGGGATCTTGGGGGAGGGCTTCGGGCCCCTCACCTGGACGTGACCCCTAGGGCCTGCTTCATGTTCTCGTAGACCACATAGGAGATGCTCACCGCCGGGATAACCTTCATGAAGTTGGGGGCAATGCCCCGGTAGAGGCCCCGCACGCCCTCCTGGGACAGGATGTGACGGAGGAGGCCCAGCATGGAGAACTGGGGGGCGCCCTCCATGGAGGCTGTGAGGGGCGGGGGAGGGCCAGGTCACGCCCAAGGGCCCCTCTCACTTCCCCCTTTTACCCCTCAGGGCTGGACCAGGTGTCCATTGCAGCAGGAGGGAGCAGGGTTAGACTAATAGTGGGACCTAGCCTCAGGAGGGGTTCCACTGGCCTTGGAACTGGCTGCCCCCTTTTTACCCCAACCCTGAGGACCTAACTTTGAGAATGACTATGAGTCGGGGCCGACTCGACGGCACATAACAACAACAACAACAGAAACAAAGAAGGTACATATGTGTGTGCATGTGTGTGTGTGCATGGCAGTGGAGGGCAGAAATTCCCTCTGCCTGGAACTTACTTTCCTCCACCTCTGCCCAGCTAACTCCTATTCATCCTCCCCACTTCATGGCCATTTGAAAGCCACCTCTTCAAGGAAGCCCTCCCTGATGCCCCCATCTCAGCCAGGCCCCCTTCCTCTCCTTTTAATTCACCCCTAAATTCACACTTGACTGTGGAATGCTTTATTTCGCATCATTCTTCCCCTCCAGGCTGTGAGCTCTCTGGGGTAGAAATCCGGACTCTCCCTGCACTAATCCAGCCCCAGTGAAAAGCATGAAACACAGTAGCTAAAGTTCCCAAGGGAATTCTCAGACCTGATTCAGGGATAATGGGGGAAAAAAAAAAAAGAAAAAAAAGGAACTTCATAAGAAAAGAAAACTGAGAAAAACAATAACCAGCCTCACCCTGCCCCTCCTTAACCCAATTCTCCACCTTCTCCTCACTACATCCCAGCCTTGCAGATTAGAAGCTCGAGTTACCCGCCAGGAAATGCTAGCTGCCTGCCAGCCTTGCTCACTCACGGCATCTGTTCTCCTATTTGATTTTCAGCTCCATAAGGATAAAGGACTCCCACATCAGTGACACAGGAAGGTAAACTGAGGCCCAGAGAAGGGAAGGGCTTAGGCAAGGATCCCAGCCCTGCACTCTACCTGGGAGAACTGGGGGAAGAGAAAGTGTGACCCAAATTCTGGACCCTCCCTGGCCCACCCTCCAGCCCTGGCCTCACCTTGAGCCTGCATCCGGGTCCGGATCAGGGCCAGGGGGTAGCTGGCTATCTGGCCACAGGTGCTGGAGATGGTGCCGCAGGCCAGAAGCACAAGGATGCCTGGGTCTGCTGAGTCATGGCTGTACTGCTGTAGCCACCGGTTCTTCAGGGTCTGGTGGGAGTCAGGAAGGAAGGGTAGTGCGTTGAGGCCGGGTGACATGGGTCCCTGGCTTCAGAGGCCTTGTGGGCCAGCCCTGTAGCCCGTGAGGAGCACTTACTACCTGCCAGGTATGTGTGTGCGTGTCTGTCTCTGTTGTCGTTAGGTGCTGTTGAATTGGTACCAACTCACAGCGACCCTGTGTACAACAGAACGAAGCAATGCCTCGTCCTGTGCCGTCCTCACGTCTGAGCACACTGTTGCAGCTACTGTGTCAATCCATCTCATTGACGTCTCCCTCTTTTTCACTGACCCTCCAATTTACCACGTGTGTTGTCCCTCTCCGGGGACTGGTCCCTCCTGATAACATATCCAAGGCACTAGAGATGGAGTCTAGCCATCCTTGCCTCCGTGGAGCGTTCTAGCTTTTCTTCCAGGAGGCATGTGTTTGTTTTGCTGGCAGCTCGTGCTACAGTCAATGTGCCCTGCCCTCTGTCTCTGCTGCTCTTTCTGTAACTCAGAAGTGATAAGGTCTAGGATCCACCTCAACTGATCAATTGCTTACATTACGATAGCATTACGGAAGGTGAGAACTTCAGATTACATTAGTAAAGGCCAGTGGCCATTCAGTGGTAGGAGTCTCACCTTCCATGTGGGAGAATGGGGTTCAATTCCTGGCCATTGTCCCTCATTCTCAGCCTTCACCCATCTGTCAGTGGAAGCGTGCATGTTGCTAGGACACTGAACAGGTTTCAGTGCAGCTTGAAATTGGCTAATTTTCAGAAGTAGATCACCAGGCCTTTCCCAGATGCCCTTACTCAACCCACACCTCAACTCTATGATGGGCAGAATAAAACCGCTCCCATGACCATGTCCTTATCCTTGGAATCTGTGACCATGACACCTTGTATGGCAAAAAAGCACCTTACAGATGTAATCAGGTCCCTGGGTGGTGTGACTGTTTTACAATAGCTGGTAACCTAAAGGTTGGCAGTTCAAACCCAACCAGTGGTACCGTGGAAGAACAGTCTACTGACCTATTTCCATAAATATGACAGCCAAGAAAACCCTATGGAGTCATTCTGCTCTGACACACATGGGGCTGCTAGCAGTTGACCAATGGCAACAAGTTTGGGCTTCTGTTTTTGGTTAGGTGTTATTAAGGGCCTTGAAATAGGTAGGGGTGATCTGGGTGACCCAGTGTCATCATACAGAAACCTGTTATTGTTGTGTCAACTCCAAGTCATGGCAAAGTCCTTTGTGTTAAAATAGAACTGTGCTCCATAGGGTTTTCACTGGTGGATTTTTCTGAAGGAGATGGCCAGGTCTTTCTTCTGAGGCACCTCTGGGTGGACTCAAAATTTTAGGCTACCGACCAAGCACTTAACCATTTGTACCACCAAGGGACTCCTATGTAATCCTAGGTGTCCCTTCTAAGAGTCAGAAAAGGAAATGGGTCCGTGGAAACAGAGGTCAGAGAGAGAAAGACAGGAAGATGCTATGCTGCTGGCTTTGATGAGGAAGGGTGAGGCCACGAGCGAAGGAATGCAGGCAACCTTTAGAAGCTGGAAATGTCAGGGGAACAGATTCTTCCTGGTGCCTCCAGAAGGAATGTGGACATGCTGACACACCTTGGGTTTATCCCAGTGAGACCCATCTCTGACTTCTGACCTCCAGAACTGTATAGTAATAGACCTGTGTTGTTTTTAAGCCACTATATTTGTGGCCCTTCGTTACAGCACTCATAGGAAACTCATATGTCCTCCTGTGGCAGATACTGTGGGTGCCCAGCCCTTATCCTTTACTCCTTCAGTTCAAACCTCCAACTTCCAGCTGTCAGCATCTATAACTCTTGGCCTGAGGACTTTTTCTGGAGCTGGGCAAGGCTACTTTGATCACATAGGACCACGTAAGAAGTGCTAGGAATTAACATCTCCAAAAGCAGCCTGCAGACTACAGATGACAACCGATAGGACTTGATGTATCAATACTCCAGCTCCAGGGTCTTAAAAGCTTGAAAATGGCCATCCAGGGCACAATTGGTCTCTATTTATTGGGAAAAACAGAGGAAGGAGTCAGGAATAGAGGAGGATATAGACTGTGTGGACAATTGCTTCCATGAAAAACTGCCTCCTTTGCCATGAGATCGGAACTGGATGGTGCCTGGCTACCATTGAACATTTAGATAAAAAATTATATATAATCCTGATCAAAGGGGGGCACATGTAGGAAAGATTTCAAATTCTCATGGAATGCAGACTTTCTGGAGCCATAGAGGCTGGATGAACCCCTGAAACTATTGCCCTGAAATAATCTTTAAACCTTAAACCAAAAATATCCCCTGATATCTTCTTAAAACCAAACGACAGTTTAGCTCAACTAGAAAAGACTGTTTGCCTTGAGCATTGTGCTTGTTTAATTAAGAACTATCTCTGTGGGATGAAATTGACAACAGCAACTCAAAAGATTAGATAGAAAACTCAGGGGGCAGTGAGTTTATGTTAATGGGAGGAACAACTTGGAAAAGGAGGGTGAGGACCATCGCACAATTCACAGAATGTCATCAATGTCACTGAGTGTGTGTGGAGAAACTGTTAATGGGTGTGTATTCTACTGTGTGTATTCTCAACAACAACAACAAAAATACATTTAATATAGACATATAATTATAATGAGCTCTGGTGGTCCAGTGCCTAAGGCATTTGACCACCAACCACAAGTTGGCAGTTCAAAGCCACCAGCCACTCTATGGAAAGAAGACTGGGAAATCTACTTCCATAGAGATACTGCCTTGGAAACCCAAAGGGGGTCGCTGTGAGTCGGAATCGACTTGACGGCAGTGAGTTTGTTTATATATACATATATATATCCCCCCAAAAAACAAACTCACTGCTGTCAAGTTGAATCTGACTCATGTTTCTAAGGTGGTATCACTATGGAAGTAGATTGCTTGATCTTCCTTCCAAGGAGTGGCTGGTGGGTTTGAAGTGCCAGCCTTCTGGTTGGCAGCCAAATGCCTTAGGCACTACGCCACCAGAGCTCATATATATCCAGCTCCCTCACCACTCCGGCGGGGTGTGTTCTCTGCTGCCTCCCAGAGTTCCAGGAGGACAGAGCTCCAATTGCCCACAGTGGTAACTTACTTGACAACACACCCATTTAGGCTGCCTGTCCTGTCTCACTACCTCTCAAATAAACCACTGGCCCTCACAGCCCTGTCTCCGGATCTGCTTCTGAGAGAACTAAGATAAGTACTAAGATTGTCTCTGTTTTACAGAAAATAAACAGATTCAGGGGAAGTTACTTGGTCAAAGCCACAAAGTAAAGAAAGGTGAGAATTGACATTTAGAGCCACATCCAAGTCCAGAGCTGTGCACTTAAGTCTTGAGAGCAGCTAACCTCTTCTGAAGCCTTCTGTGAGGTCTCTTTGTAAGGACAAGATCTTTTTTTTTTTTTTTTTTTTTCTACCTTATTAGGGCTAGGTAGCTCACAGGTTTCATTTCCTATGTCAATTCTGATCCATTGATAATGGTTGCCCAGAACTGTGTAGAAAGGGACTCTGGAGGAATGAGTGCTGTGATAGATGAGTGATGTCTGACCTGGGTGAGGAATGGGTAAGGAGAGGTACGTGTTTAGCATTATTACCTTTCCAACTTCAGTAGCCTCCTTTTGTGTAAGCTCTGGTGGTGTAGTGTTTAAGGCATTTAGATACTAACCTAAACGGTCGGCAGTTCAAACCCACCAGCTACTCTGTGGGAGAATGATGAGGCAGTGTACTTCTGTAAAGATATACAGCCTTGGAAACTGTATGGGGGCAGTTCTATTCTACCTGTAGGGTTCTGTGATGACAGTGAGTTTGATTTTTTTGTCCTTAGAGGAACCTCTGGGTGGTGAAAATGGTTAATATGCTTGGCTGCTGACAGAAAGTTGGGGGTTTGAGTCCACCCAGAGGTACCTTGGAAGAAAGGCCTGGAGATCTCCTTCTGAAAGACCACAGCTGCTGAAAGCCCTACGGACTGCAGTTCTCCTCTGACACACATGGGAGCGCCATGAGCCGGAGTCAACTCAGAGGCAACTGGTTATTGTGAGCTCATCAGCCCATCTGTCAGTTGTCACACTGCGGTGGTTGTGTGTTATGGTGACACTGGAAGCTTTGCCACTGGGATTCCAAATACTTATGGTGGACAGGTTTCAGTGGAGCTTCCTGACTCAGACTAGAAAGAAAGGCCTGGCCATCGACTTCCTAAAAACCATTCATTGAAAACCCTCTGGAGCACAGTTCTACTCTGACACACATGGTGTCACCATGACTTGGAGTTGACTCGATGGCAGCTCATTACTGGTTTGTATTTGGGGTAGCATTTTTCAAATAGGTGTTTAAAGAGGTACTAAGTGCTGTCCTGTTGAAAAGAGGTTTGATGGCTGTAAAGGTGTGGGAAACACTGGGTTAAAACAAAGTGAATCAGTCACTTTCCAGCAGGACTTCTCAGAGCCTTTAAGGGACAAACATACATTTTGAAACTCCAAAGAGGCCGTAGTGTTTCTCAAACTTCTTCTTGTTGTTAGGTGCTGGTACCATTGAGTCAGTTCTGATTCATAGCAACCCTATATACTTACACAGAGAAGAAAAGAAATCCCCAAACTCAAACTTGCTGCCATCAAGTTAATCTCAACTCATGGTGACCCCAATGTTACAGGGCAAACTGCTCTACAGGGTTTTCTTGGCTGTCATCATTTTTTTTTATTTTTTAAATAATATTTTATTGTGATGTTGCTGAAGGTTTACACAGCCGTTGAGGTTCCCATTCAACAATTTCTGCACAGATTGTACAGTGACATTGGTTCCATTCTTTACAATGTGTGAACATTCTCATTATTTGTTTTGGTTGTTCTGTTTCCATTAATCTAGTTTCCCTGCCCCCTTAGATGCCCATCTTTGTTTTAAACTCACTGCTGACCATTTGGTCTCCTAGATGACTTTGTAAAGGAGCACAGTCCTCACGGGTGATATTCTTTACTTTGTGAGTCAATCACTTATTTAGCTAAAAGGTGACTTTGGGAGATACTTTTGATTCAAGGTATAGGAAGTATATCAGGGCTTGGCTGTAATCTTTAATGGAAGCACATCAGTAGGCCTTTCTTCCTTGGTACTACTGGACAGGTTGGTACCACTAGATGGGTTTGAACCGCCAACCTTTAGGTGAGCACTCAAGCACAAATCGTTTACACCAGCTAGGGTCCTCCTTTTTTGGGGCCCAGAATCTGCTAATAAGATGTTATGGATTGAACTGTGTCCCTCATAAATATGTGTTATAAATCCTAATCTGTATACCTGTGGTTATAATCCCATTTGGGAATGTGTTGTCTTTGTTATGGTAATGAGGTAGGGTTGGTATAGGGTGTGTCTTAAATCAATCTCTTGAAGATATAAAAGAGATGAAACAAGCAAGTAAATGGCAGCAATGGAGAAGAGAGATGCCAAGCCACACGAAGATTCCACATGAAAATCGCCCAGGAGCCAACACTGAAAAGCGACAAGGACCTTCTCCCAGAGCTGACAAAGAGAGCTGCGCCTGAATTTGGACTTCTAGCCTCCTCAGCTGCTAGAAAATAAATTATAGCAACACTAGATAACTAAAGGAGCCTTGGTGGTGTAGTGCCTAAGCCATCTGACTGCTAACCAGAAGGTTGGCAGTTCAAACCCACCAGCCACTCCTGGGAAGAAAGGTTGGACAATGTACTTCCGTAGTGATACCACCTTGCTATGAGTAGGATCCAGCTTGACAGCAGTGAGCTTTTTTAGATAACTAAACATGATCAAGTATGACCAAGAACCAATGGTACTGAAAGAAGAAGTCCAAGCTGTACTGAAGGAATTGGGAAAGAACAAGGCTCCAGGAATTGACGGAATAGCCGCTGAGATGTTTGAACAAATGGATGCAGTGTTAGAAGTGCTTACTTGTTTATGCCAAGAAATCTGAAAGACAGCCACCTGGCCAACTGACTAGAAGAGATCCATATTTATGCCCATTCCAAAGAAAGGTGATCCTACAAAATGTGGAAATGAGTGAACAATATCATTAATATCACACACAAGTAAAATCTTGCTGAAGGTAATTTAAAAATGGTTGTAGCAGTACATTGACAGGAAATTTCCAGAAATGCAAGCTGGATTCAGAGGAGGACGTGGAAGGAGGGATAGCATTGCTGATGTCAGATGGATCTTGGCTAAAAGCCAAGAATACCAGAAAGACGTTTACTTGTGTTTCATTGACTATGCAAAGGCATTTGACTGTATGGATCATAACAGATTATGGATACCATTGCAAAGAATGGGAAGTCCAGACACTTAATTGTGCTCATGAGGAATGTGTACATAGACCAGGAGGCTGTTGTTCAAACACAACAAGGGGATACTGCATGGTTTAAAATCCAGGAAGGGTGTGCATCAGGGTTGTATCCTTTGATCATACTTACTGAATCTGTACGCTGAGCAACTAATCCAAGAAGCTGGACTATTTGAAGAACGAGGCCTCAGGATTGGAGGAAGACTCATTAACAACCTGCAATATGCAGATGATACCACCTTGCTTGCTGAAAGTGAAGAGGACTTGAAGCACTTCCTGATGAAGATCAAAGACTACAGTCTTTAGTATGGATTATATTTCGACATAAAGAAAACAAAAGTCCTCATAACTGGATCAATAAGCAACATCACAGTAAATGGAGAAAAGATTGAAGTTGTCAGGGATTTCATTTTACTTGGATCCATAATCAACACCCATGGAAGCAGCAGCCAAGAAACCAGACGTCATGTTGCGCTGGCCAAATGTGCTGCACAGACCTCTTTAAAGTGTTAGAAAGCAAAGATGTCACTTTGGAGACGAAGGTGCATCTAACCCAAGCCGTGGTATTTTCAGTCACCTCATACGGTGGATGATGAATGAGGAAGACGGAAGAAGAGTTGATGCCCTTGAATTATGGTGTTGGCTAAGAAGACTGAAAATACCATGGACTGCAAGAAGAACGAACAAATCTGTGCTGGAAGAAGTGCACCCAGAATCCTCCTTAGAACTAAGAATGGCCAGACTTCATCTCACCTACTTTGATCAGAAGGGACCAGTCTCTGGAGAAGGATGTCATGCTTGGTAAAGTGGAGGGTCAGCGAAAAAGGGGAAGGCCCTCAACGAGATGGACTGACACAGTGGCTGCAATGATGGGCTCAGGCACAGCAGGGATTGTGAGGCTGGCGCAGGACTGGGCTGTGTTTTGTTCTGTTGTCCATGGGGTGCTATGAGTCGGAGCCGACTGGATGGCACCTAACAACAACAGATAAGTAAAGACACAAGGTTATATCTTATTGCTCCCCCAAATCCTCAGTGGCTTCCTGTTACACACTTCGGATAAACCCAAACACCTCATCACAGAGGCGTTGCTGACTCTCTGACCCCGGCCTCTATCCTAACCACTTCCCTCCAGCCTTCCGCACCTCCAGCAGGCCAAGTTCACTTCTGCCTCCCGGCCTTTGCACTTGCTGTGTCTTGCCCACACCCCCTCCCGCCCCAGCATTCAGCTCCAACAGCAGTTCCTCTGGGGCTTCCCTCCATCCCCTCACCCACTGTAACTCCCACTGTGACTCGGAACTTCACATCTTGTTTTATTGTCTTCTGAGAAGTTAGAGGATCTGAAACTATCTTGTTTGCTGGGTGACAGTCTGTCTGTCTGGCCCATTGGAGTGGACGCTCTGGGTGGCAAGGGCTGGATAAGCCTCGTTTTGCCAGTACAACACTTGGGACACTGGATCCTGAGTAAACATTTGCTGAATGAATGAACGAATGAATGGACGAGTGAAGAAGTGAATGAACAAACGCCTTGTCACTTCTGGCTGTGTATGTACTAGGTACTGGGAAGGGGAGGTTATATAAAAGGCAGACATGGAGTATCTTGGATTAGGGTTAGCTACAGAATTTTTGCCACCACCCGTCTGTCAGTTTTTTGTACTGTGATGGCTTGTGGGTTGCTATGAGGCTAGAAGCTATGCCATTGGTATTTTTCAAATCCCAGCATGGTCACCCTTGGTGGACAGGTTTCAGCAGAGCTTCCAGACTAGGAAGAAAGGCATGGTGATCTACTCCCCAAAATTAGCCAATTTCAACCTCTTTTGAAAGCCAGTCAACATCCTAGCAACATGCAAGCCTCCACTGATGGGGTGCATTGGCCGGGAATCAAACCTGGGTCCTCCACATGGGAGATAAGAATTCTGCCACTCATCCACCAATGCGCTCTCTTTCTAATAGAATATAATTGCCTTCTACGATGTGATCTGATGTTATCACATTCCAAAATGCAATCTAATGTAATGTAATCAATCAGTCAGTTGATGTTGTACTACTATAGAGTGGATCCTAAACCTAATTACTTTTGAGTTCTACAAAGAGACGCACAGACACAGACACACACACACAGGCACACAGGGACACGTGAGTAAGGCAGACACATTAGAGGATCATTTCTAAGCAAAGGGACCAAGGAATGCCTGGGAAGTACCAGTGGGGAAGGAACCTACACAGCTGATGCCCTGAATCCAGACTCCCAGCTTTCTGAACTGTGAGAAAATAAATTTCTGTTCATGAAAGCCACCCCCTTGTGGTATTTCTGTACAGCTGCACTAGGAGGCTCAGACTGGGGGTTCCCAAGGATTGCAAGGTCTGTGATTCTGCTCTCCCACAGGAGTATCATCCCTGTGAGAGTGGCAGGAGGTAAACTGAGTCAGCCCTCAGGAAAGGGGTGTGCAGTGGGCAAAAACACCAGAGGGGAGAAGAAAAGGAGAGGCGAGGCGGGCTGCCCACAGACCTCGTAGACGGCCAGGTCGATGCCTGCGTAGGGGATGATGCCCAGCACGTTGGGCAGGTAGCCGCGGTAGAAGGCGCGGGGCCCCTCCCGCTCCAGGATCTGCCGTGCACAGTCCTGCAGCCCCTTGTACTGGCCTGTCCAGCCCAGCGTCAGGCGCGTCTTCAGCACCTGGGGAGGACCAGGGCAACAATTACCCCCGGAAAAGCTGCCCCCAGACTCACCACATCCAGGAAACAGTTACTCCTGGAAGTACACATCCTGAAAAGAATTACATTAATACAAAACTACTTATTCTAGAACCTTCCACACACACCCCCAGTCTCTATACCTAGAAATGGTTATGTCTCCCAGAGTTGCTTGTGGCAGTCACTGCAAACATCCTCCAATATCTTTATTCCTTCTCCCTTAAGAATATAGTTGCCATCCAGTCCATTCAGAGTCATGGTGACCCCACACGTGTCAGGGAAGAACTGTGCTCCACAGAGTTCTCAATGGTTCTTTTTCGGAGGGAGATCACCAGGCTTTTCTTCTGAGGTGCCTTGGGGTGGCCTCGAACTACCAACCTTTCAGCAACTGAGCACATTTACCGTCTGCACCTGCAGGAACTGTCCTTTAATAATAATCGAGAGAACCCTGTTGCTATGGAGTTGATTCCCACTCATGGGGACTCCATATGTCACCGAGTAGAACTGTACTTTGTAGGGTTTTCTTGGCTGTAATCCCTTACGGGAGCAGATTGCCAGGCCTCTTCTGTGAAGCACTGGGTAGGATCGAACCATCAACCTTTACATTAATAGTTAAGCACAGACTGTTTGCACCACCCAGGAACTTTAACCCCTTAATAATGTTGTTGTTTTGTGCCGTGGAGTTGGACCCACTCATGGCGACCCCTCCTTGGGTTTCCAAGGCAGTATTACTATGGAAGTAGATTGCCCAACCTTCCTTCCGAGGAGTGGCTGGTGGGTTTGAACCACCAGTTTTCTGGTTAGCAGTCAAGTGCCTTAGGCACTACGCTATTTCCTATAACCACACAGTGACTAGAAATAAAGAAAACTTTTCCCAGCTTCCCTAGATGTGGGGTCATGTGACTAAACCCTGATCAATAAAACAAGAAGAGGAATATGTGACTCTCAGAAAGAGACTCACAGGAGGGCATTCCCTCCTTAAAGGCAGGAACATGAGCTAGTTTCCACCTTTATTTCTTCTTCTTTCTTGCTGGCTGGGATGCAGATATGATGACTGGACCACAGCAGCCATCTTGGTCCATGAGGTTGGAGCTACATGCTGAGGTGGTAGAACAAGATTGATGGAAGCAACTTGGGTCTCTAACACTTTGAAGCCACCACACCAACCCTGAACTGCTCACATCCACATTTCCTTTACTTGATTTGTGTTTTTTGTGATTCTCAGAATTCTGATACACTATGCTACCGGAACCAGAAAAGAGTTCTCTGAAAGCAGCAATACCTAGAAATGATTCCCGTGGGGACAAGTGTCCTGAAAATCAGTATCTTTGGAAGAAGCATAGTCATAAACATCTGACTCCTACAATGACTGTCCAGTTATATAACCCAACCCCCTTCCCTGACCCGGGGCAGCAGTGGTTCCGTGGTTGAACTCTTGCCTTCCACGTGAACAACCCAGGTTCAATTCCCAGCCCATGCATCTCACGTGCAGCTCCCACCTGTCTGTCAATAGAGACTTGTGTGTTGCTAGGATGCTGAATAGGTTTCAATGGAGCTTCCAGATTAAGACTAGGAAGAAAGGCCTGGCCCACGAGAAACCTATGTATGGGTCATAATGGTCCCAACCACAATCAATCATGGGAACGGGGCAGGACCAGGCAGAATTTCACTGCATTGTGCATGGGGTCACCATGAGTTGGAGCTGACTGGATGGCAGCTGACTACTGTCCCTAGAAGCCATCCTTCCAATTGTAAGACCCAGAGAGGCCACACTGGAACAGCAGTGCTGGTTCGAGCCACGGAAGACATTCATTTCCTGCAGCCTACATGCACACCTGACCGCGGGGCACAGCAGCTACTGCAGACCCCCACCCAGCAGTGGGGCCCGCCCTTCTCACCTCCATGGGATAAATGATGGTCTGGGCCGTGGCTCCGGCCAGGGAGCCAGCCACGAAGCGCTCCTGCACGTGTAGCGTCTCCTGCTGCCCCCGAATGGCCCGCTTGATCTGCAGGTGGGAGGCGCAGGGGTGGCAGGGCCTCGGGGGCTGAGCTTCCCCCCCACTCTGCTCCCCACGTGGGCGTCACACAGGAGAACAGACACCCACTGCCCGGTACCTCAGCCCACACGCCAAGCAGACACCTCCCCAGCCTGCTTCTACCTGCTCATAGGCCATGAACTTGATGGCCGACTCCGGTGCAATCTTGAGGACATTAATGCCATTGCCCCGCCACAAGGAGCGGACGCCTCCCTCGCGAATCATGTTTCGCAGGCCCCCCAGCACGTCCAGGCGGTTAGTCTTGGAGGCGTGGACCTGGGCAGGGAGACAAGGGGACTTGGAACTGTCAAGCAGGCCCGGGGCAGGGGGCAGGTCTCTCCAGCGTCCCTCACCTGCATGAAGACCTTGAGGCGGTCCAGGGGGGCTGTGCCGGTCCGTGACACGGCACCTGCCACGGCGCCTGCCACCAGCTGCTTCCACCACATGCCAGTCTGTTTTTCCTGCTCCGAGAACTCGTCGGGCACTGTCAGGCACTCGCCGATGTCGAGGACCTGATGGGGCGGGGCTGGTGCGTCATGCCACATGGGGGCAGGGACACGCGACCTTGTCCTAAACAAGTTCACCAGTTCCTGAACGCCCCAGAGATCGCACTGATGAATCTTGCTTGGAGAGCCTAGGCGACCCCTGTTGAGCCCCTACCAGATGCCAGCAAAGCATCCAGCCCTGCGATGTCCCACATCAGGATCCCAACATCCCTCCTGGGGACCCCACCGGATCCCACCAAAGTCCCACCCAGGCACCCACCACATAAAGATCCCTCTGGAGCCAATGAGATCACTCCAAAGGCTCCCACCCGAGGGTCTTCCCACAAAAGGATTCCGGAAGATCCTCCAGAGCAGCACACAATCCCACCCGGAATCTCCCACCTCGGCCCCTGGCAGATCCCTCATCAGAGCCTCAGTCGATCCCATCAGAGCTCCCCCAGGGACCAGCCCTCCAGCAGAGGTCTCCTAGGAATTCCCAGCGGATCTCCCCAGATCCCACGGATGGGTCCCTTCCAGATGCCACCAGTGCACCAGAAGCATGGCTCAGGGATTCCCACCTGGGAGCTCATATCTAGAGCACCCCCTTCCGGATCCTCCAAAGGCCCTGGCTTTCTTACAGATTTTGCTAAGAGCCTCAGAATTCATCATTCTGCAGAATGGAAACCAGGCAGAAGGGGCACTGGGCGGGTGGCTGGTGGCAGGCCTGCCACCCCATCTGGTAAGCTCTTTTTGTCCTGCACCCCCAGCCTCCACAACCTGTCCCCAGAGTCTCTGCAAGGAACACTTCCTTGCAAAAGAGAAGGGTGCCAAATGGGTCCCTGAGTCCCAAAAAGAAGGGGAGAGGGAAGCCTCAGCCCCGAGCTTCTCTCCATGGTTCCTTCTCATAGAGGGTTCTGGGTCCCGCCCCTCCAAGCCCTGGGGAGATCAGGGCAAGGCGGCCAGGGAGGAGAGCCTCAGATCCCGGGAGAGGGGACTGCAGCCACCCAGCGGGGAGGGTCACCCCCACCTCACCGTGGAATGCTTCCAGAAATAGACCACGTCCTCCACGTTCTCCAGAGAATGCAACAGGAAGTGGTCACGCCATTCCTGCCAGTCAATGGTCATCGTGCCGTCTCGGTCCATGCTGTGGGGGGGTGGGGGTGGGGTCAGTTACTGGGCGGGGCTGGGGTGAGGCTCTGCTAGGGCCAGGCTTGGGCGTAGAGTGTCCTTGAAGCATAAGCCTGTTACTGTTCTTCTTAGGTCGAGGGGATCCCAACTCCTAGCACCCCCACGTGACAGAGTAGAATTGCCCCCTAGAGTTTCTCAGGCTGTAATCCTTTAGGGAACTGATAGCCAGGTCTTTCTTCCAGTGGAGCTGCTGGTGGGTTGAACCTCGCCTACCATTCTGTGAGCAGCCGAGTGCTTAACCTCTGCACCACTAGGGCTCATTGAGCACATGCCCAGTACCGTTTCAACCATGTACTCCATGGATTGCCCCATGCTAAGTCCCAATAAAAAACAGTGGCCATGATAAGGGACAAGGTTGTGGTGGCTTCTTGGCCACAGCCAGCTACCCAGAGGGAGTGAGTAGTTGGACCTGTGGGCTCTGGACCATGGTCCCAGGGCACATCAAGCTCAATTGGCAAAACACACTACACAAAACATTGTTCTATATCCTACTTTGGCGAATAGTGACTGGGCCTTAAAAGCTTGCAAGCAGCCATCTAGATGCAATGATGGGTCTCTCCTTATCCAGAGCAAAGAAGAATGAAGAAAACCAAAGACTTATGGAAACAATTAGTCCAAGGGACTAGAAGACATATGATCCTCAGCCTATACGACCATGAGACCAGAAGAAATAGATGGTGCCCGGCTACTACTGTCAACCACTTGGAGAGGGATCAATGTAGGGGATCCTGAATAGAGTAAGAGAATAATGTGAAACAAAACTCAAAATCATAAAAAAAAAAAAAAAAAAAGACCCGTTTTGCTGCTCTGATAGAGCCTGGTGAGACCCCTGAGACTATGGCCCCTAGTCACCCTTCAGGTCTGGAACTGAACTCACTTCTGCGGCTTCCAGCCAAACAACAGACAGGCATATGGCGTGAACATTTACATCAGGTGGATACACTCCTCAGAGTGGTCAATCTTGGGAGAACAGAAGGGCAGTGTTTGTACAGGGAGACAGCTCAGGGGGCAGGAGTGCATGGAGGGAAGGATCCAGGCAAGAGATAACTATGGGGAGGAAGTGGGAGGGGAGCTGTTGCATTGTGAAGTCAATGCCATGAAACCAAATGTGTATGAACTGCTGTATGGAAAATGAATTTACTCTGTCAACTTTCACCCAAATCACAATAAAAATGTAAAAAAAACAAATAGGAAAACAAACAAACAAACTGGCCATCCAGTCAACTCCAGCCCATGGCTCCTCACTGTGTCAGAGTAGAATTGTGCTCCATGGGGTTTTCAATGGCTAATTTTTCAGAAGTAGGTCTCCAGGGCTTTCCTCCAAGGTGCCTCCGGGTGGATGTGAACTTCCATCCTTTTGGTTAGCAGCCAAGCATGTTCACCGTCTGTGCCACCCAGGGACTCTGCCCACGTGCCTAGTCCTGCTCCTGACTGTGTTAGTTCTAGTACTAGTATTAGTTCTAATCACACTGTGTGGATTGTCCCTTATTGATTCCTCATAGCAACCTGTCAGGGGTTGAATTGTGTCCCCCAAAAAAGACATAATGAAGTCCTAACCCCTGGCACCTGTAACCGTGACCTTGTTCAGTAATAGGGTCTTTGCAGATGCAACCAGTGAAGTTAACATGAGGTGGTCCTGGAGGAAGGGGATCCTAATCTCATCTGAGTGACTCCTTATAAAAGAGGAGGAAAGACACAGAGAGATGGAGGAAGGATGCCGTGAGACCCACAACCTAGGATCGAGCAGAGAGGCAGCATGGCAGTGAGGAGAGAGGCGACGTCCGCCAAGCTTCAGGAGGAATGGCCGCAGTGCTGTACTCTAACTCTGGACTCTCAGCCTCGAGAACCGCGAGACAACACATTGGTCTTCTTATAAGCCACCCAGTCTGTGGTATTTTGTTAGGGCAGCCCTTGATGGCCCAGTGGCAGAATTCTCACCTTCTGCGTGGGAGGCCCGGGTTCAATGCCTGGCCGCTGCACCTCCCACACAGCCCCCACCCACCTGTCAGTGGAGGCCTGAGTGTTGCTAGGATGCTGAACAGGTCTCAGTGGAGCTTCCAGACTAAGAGGGACTAGGAAGAAAGGCCTGGCAACTGGCTCCTGAAAATCAGCCAAGGAAAACCGTATGGAGCACCATGGTCTGATTCGCCTACGGCTCTGGGGGATGGCGCAGTGCTGGGCACCATTTTGCTCCATGGTGTGTGGCCCATGAGTTTCAGGCCAGCAAGAAAGCAGAAGCAACAACAAGAAGAAACCAGTGCACAGCCTACTGGGGGCTGGGGTCACCCACATTTAAGAGAGGAGGAAACTGATGTTCACAGAGGTGAAGCAGCTGGCCCAAGGTCTACCTGACTCCAAAGCCCAACCACTCAACTGCACCCTCCTAGGCAAGGGGTCGGGGAACCTGAGTTTCCTGGCTCTCAGAACCCTAGCTACTCACCTGTGCAGAATTTTCTCTGCCTGCTCCAGCGAGATGGAGATGCCCAGGGCCCAAAAACTCTGCTGGATCTCAGACACATCGATATGACCTGCAGAGAGGGCCCAGGGGGTGGGATGGGTTGAACCGTGTTTCCCAATAAGATTGGTTGAAGTCCTAAACCCTGTAGCTGTGAACGTGACCTTGTTTGGAAATAGGGCCTTTAAAGGTGGTATCAGGTAATATGAGGACATACTGGAGCAGGGTGGGTCCTAATTCCATATGACTGGTGTCCTTCTATCTGTTGCCATTGAATTAATTCCAACTCACAGTGACCCCATGTGTGACAGAGTAGAAATGTTTCATAGAGTTTGCTTGGTTGTAATCTTTACAGAGGCAGTTTGCCAGGCCTTTCTTCCACAGAGCCTCTGGTGGGTTCAAATTGTCAAGATTTAGGTTAGCAGCTAATCGCAAACTGTCTGTGCTGCCCAGGGATCTTCCCTAGTGTTCTTATAAAGAGAGAGAAACCACAGAGACAGAAAGGTGTACAGGGGAGAGGACCGTGTGAAGATGGCAGCAGAGACTGGAGGGTGCATCGGAAGCCAAGGATCACCAGGGATTGCCTGAAGCCACCAGAGGCTGGAAGAGGCAAGAAAAATCTGTCCTAGGGCCTTCAGAGGCCCAGTGGACACCCTGATTCTAGAATTCCAGCCTCCAGGACCTGAGACAGTAAGTTTCTTTATTTGAAGTCACCTAGATTGTGGTAGGGAGCTCTGGGGGTGTAGTGCCTAAGGCACTTGACTGCTAACCAGAAGGCTGGCGGTTCCAACCCACCAGCCACTCCTCGGAAGGAAGGTTGAGCAATCTACTTCTGTAGTGATACCGCCTCGGAAACCCAAGGAGGGGTCGCTATGAGTCGGGTCTGACTTGGCGGCAGTGAGTTAGGAGATTGTGGTAAGGAGCCCTAGTGTACAACAGGTAAGCACTTGGCTGAACCGAATCCACCCAGCAGCTTGACAGGAGAAAAACGTGGCGACCTGCTCCCGTAAAGATTTACAGCCCAAAAAACCCCATGGGGCAGTTCTACTCTGTTACACAGGGTCACTTGTGAGTCAGAATCAACTTGGCAACACCCAATGACAACATCATAGTTTGTAGCACTTTGTTAAAGCAGCCCTACAAAAACAATACAGGGTGTGTGTGGGTGAATGTGTGGAACCTGGGGAACCGTAAAAGGAGCCGGAAGGCTTGTTAGGGGATGGCCTAACAAGACCAGGGGGTCCAGAAACCTAGGGCAAAGTCTGAGGCAGGATTGGGCCTGGGGGGAGGGAAAGTCCTGACCCATTGGAATCAGAGAATGAACCCAGAATGAATCCGAGGGTCATGATGGGGTCCCTATGCTAGAGAGACAGGAGTCCCTCGGTGGCACAAATAGTTAAGCTTTCGACTACAAGGTTGGCAGTTCGAACCCCCCCCAGAGGCACCTGGGAAGAAAAGCCTGGGGATCTGCTTTGAAAGGTCACAGCCCTGAAAACCTAACGGGGCTGCTCTGCTCTGTGTGCACGCGGTCACCATGAGTCAGAATGCTTTCAACGACAATCAACCAACCGCTACACTAGATGGGACTGAGACGCAATATTACAGACCCAGGAGATGCTATTCGTGGTGGTGGTGGGGAATGCCTCTATTCCTTAAGGAATCAAGAAGCAACTTGGGGAATCTGGGGAAAACGCAAGGGTGTGGAGGAGGGGGCCGCACCCCAGAAGGGAAAGGAGGCAGGATGGGATGGCTGGGCCTGGAACCACTAGCTGGGGGTGGGGAATGCTCCCAAAATAGCCTGTGAGTCAGCGGGGAGAAGCACCCTCGCGCTGTGCCAGCTCTGCCCCCCTGGTGTCTCCGGGCCCAGGGCCCCAGGCCCTGCCCAGAGGCTGGCCTTACCGTCCTGGTTCCGATCAAGGCTGTGGAACATGAGCAGCAGACGCTGTTCCCGCTCCTGCAGGTAGTGTGAAAACTCCTCCAGGTCCAGCCCGCCCTCAGGGTCGCCCTCGGGGGGGATGCCCTGGCAAAGGGGGCAGGGACAGAAGGGTTCCAGGAGGCGACTCCCCAATATGCAGATGCACACCTAGTCACCTGCCTCCGGGTCCTAGGGTCCCCAGCACCCCCAGGGGAGAGAGGGCAGGGAAATCACCATCCCCTCCAAGTTCCACTTCTCAGCAAGATGCCCAAGGCCACAGCAAGCCTGGGAAATGGGTCAAGTCTGTCCAGTTTTCAGAAAACTACAGCTCAGTGAGGTCAAATTGCTAGTTCAAGGTCACCGAGCTGGGAAGTAGTAGCCTTGGGCTCTTGTCCTGCCAGCCTGTCCTCCCAGTTATCTCTTATCAAAAGCTGTCCACCTGGCCATCTCCAGGCAGCATGGGGCAGGTCAGATCCAAGCTGAATGGGCAAGGCCTCAGTTTTCTCCATCCGGAAAATGAGAGATTGGACTGAAGGTTTCAAGATGTTATGGGGATACTTAAAGGGCATCTGGGGCTACAGGTGGGAGAAGACACCTGTATGGGAGAGGGGTTCTTGTCTTTGTAGATATGTCCCCAGCTAAGGGTGGCCTAAGGCAGGGCTGGGTCCTTGGCTGGGGCAGCCTGGGGCTCTGAGCCAGATTCAGGAAAGGGCAGGGAGGGAAGATAAACAGAGTGACTGGGGCAGCTGGCTAGGAGGGCAGTGGGTGCTCAGAGGGCCCCAGGGGGTGTGGAGGGTGTGTCTCCAGGAGGTGGGAGTAGGGCACGTCATGGGCTGTGCAGAGAGGCCAGAGGGTGTGTCGTGGGCAGTGGGCAGGAAAAGGAACTACTACAGTCCCAGGCGGAGAGCCCCCTCTTGGCTTCGGTTAGGGGAGTGCTGGCAGCTATACGGCTGGCCTGGGGCCTCCGTGGTCCTGTCTAGAACCACAGCTGCGTAGTAGGGGGAAAAGCACAGAGCCGCTCAGCGTGGACACAGGTCCTGGAGTCCAGCCACAGACTGTCCCTGGTGGCTCGGAGCGCTCCATTCAGGGGCTCCGGTCACCCGGGCCGAGCGCGGGACGCCAGGCAGGGGTCCGGGCGGGGGGTACCTGTTGGGCGCTGCGGTCTGGGTCGCCCCCGCCCAGCCGGGCCAGTCCCTGGCGCAACTCGTGCACATCCACGCGGCCATCCTTGTTACTGTCCAGCTCCTCGAAGAGGCGCCCCCAGCGCTGCCGCCGCTCTGCGTCGCCCGGGCCCCCCCGCATAGCGCCAGCCCTGGGGTGAGGGGAGGCCCGGCGGCGGCAGCCTCAGTGGGGGTTGCGCGGCTCCCCCTTCCTCCCGGAGCCCTGCAGGGCCAGCTCCGCGGCCACGGCCAACGCAGCCTCCGCGCTGCCTGCCGGGCTCCACCATTCGCAGGAGGTGGTGGCTGCTAGTCGTCGCCGCCCGCGCCAGAACTTGCGTCTCCTCCCCTGACCTGCTTTGGCTGGGAGGGGGCCGGGGGCGGAGCTGTGGGCATGAGGAGGGATGTCAAGGATGCTCTGATGTGGCACAGACAAGGGAGCACCAGGGTTCCTTCTGGAAAGAGGAGTTAGGGAGATCCATGGTCTCGGTTATGGTTTCAGAGCTTCGCTTCTGTGTGCCTCAGTTTACCCCCTTCTCCAAGGGCGCAAAGTAAGGAGATGTCAAGAATTGGGTCTGATGATCCCTTTCCACTTGACCTCCCTCCCCGACTAATCCCCCTTAGGAACTAAGGTTCTTGCCTTTTCCAGACGAATGCAAGAACCCTGCTCATCTACCCCTCCGTCTACCCGCCCGCCCGTTTCACTCTCCCCACTCTGTTACAGAAACAGAAGATCAAGACGCGGTGGGCTCCATCTGTCTCTTCATCCCGCCCGCGCGCCTCCTTTTTTCCTCCCACTCAGCTCGGGAAACGGAAGATCAACGCGCGGCGCGACTGCAAAGTCTTCTTCCTATTGGCCAGAGCCGCCGGGGCTGCGCCCGCCCGCCCCTCCTCCTCCCACGTAGGCGGGGCCTGCCTGCTGACCTGAGGTAGAGTGCGGCTCCGCTACCCCGCGGCGGGCCAAGCAGTCTTAAAGGGGCCGTGGCCAGGTCTGGACGTCGGGCTAACTGCTCTCTGCAGACCGGCCTGGGGATGCCAGTTGTCCGAGGCCCGGCTGGGGATGAGGACGGGGTGGTGGAGGGCTGGAGGCGGGGCCCCAGCCTGTCACGCTCTCTGCACCTGCCGAAAGTACCTCCCACTAGTTTTGGGCGCAGTTTCTCGATTCACCATTAGGCGGCGGGGTGCCTGGAGCACTTGACCACGAATAATTGTTAACAATAGCTAACATTTATTGAGTGCGTTACACATGCCAGGCCTTTTACTCACATCTTGCTTCGTCCTCACCAAAACCCTATAAGGGATTTCACCAGACCTGGGATTCTTAATCATCTCTCTACACCCTAGAAGGGACCTTATATCTTCACCCTTCATTCTAGACTCTCCAGGACGGGCCGTCTTATTATCACGTTTTGTCCAAAGGTACAGACATGAGGGCATATTTGGTTCCCACTCGCCTCTGCCCAGACGGGTGTGCTCCAAACACATGTGTTGGAGATAGACAGCCTCCTTAGAGGACCCCCTAACAGATGTTTTCATTCACGGTTGGTGCTTGCCCTTCTCCTACAGTGAAAGGATACAGGCATTTTCCCATGAGGATGTCCCAAACACGTGTTTTCCTACAGATATGTCTCCGACGGGGGGTCTCAATACTGGTGAACCTCTGTCCTGGTGGTCCTTCCACACATGTGCTGTTGTTGTTGTTAGGTGCCGCCAAGTCGTCTCCAACTCATAGCAACCCTATGCACAGCAGAAGGAAACACTGCCCGGTCCTGCATCAGCTCCACGATCCTTGCTATACTTGAGTCCATCGCCTCTGCCACTGTGTCAATCCATCTCGTTGAGGGTCTTCCCTTCTTTTGTCGACCCTCCACCTTACCAAGCATGCCATCCTTCTCAGTCGTGCCACGTCAGCAAATGGAGGTCCTGAAAGATTTACTTGATCCATATCATTAAGGTTGGTTCTACTCTGATGAGGCAGCTCTTTCCCAGTTGTATTTTGAGTGCTTTCCAACCTAAGGGGCTCATCCTCCTGCACTGTATCGGACAATGTTTCAGGGCTATTCATAAAGTTGCCCAGTAATATATCAGACAGTGTTTCTCTGCTATTCATAAGGTTTTTCCTGGCCAATTCTTTGAGAAGTGGATGGCCTCTTCCTTCTTCCTAGTCTGTCTCAGTCTGTAAGATGCGTTGAAACCTGTGCACCATGTGCAACCCTGCCGGCACTTGAAACACCAGTGGCACAGCCTCAAGCCACCACAATATGACAAACTGACAGACAAGTTTGTCTCCCTAAACACATCCCCACACATGTGCTTCAATGCAGATGTGCCTCATGCAGATGTTCCCAACCCTTCTCATCAAGTGAGATCAGTTCTATACAGGTATTCCTCATACATAGGAGCCCTGGTGGTGCAATGGTTAAGCATTCAACTAGTAACTGAAAGGCCAGTGGTTTGAACCCACACAGCAGATCTGCAGAGAAAAGACCTGGTGTTCTGTTCCCATAGAGAAGACAGCCTAGGAAACCCTATGGGCCAATTCTACCATCACATGGGATCACTATGAGTTGAAATTGGCTCATTGGCACCTGGCAACAGCATTCTTCATGCAAGATGGTCCTTTTCACCTTACAGGTGTGTTTCTCAACAGATATTTCTCCTTCCCAAGAATGCATTATGGAACTCCTCTCCACCCCCACCCACCATACAGGTGTGTTCCAGGTAAGTATACACCCATTTGGATATGTTTCCATTTAACTAGGACAAAGACAGCTGTGCTTAAATGCAGGTGTGTCTCATACAGGTGTTCTGATACATGTAGGCTTCCACACAGGAATTCCTTATACAAGTCTTGTTCATTTCATAGGTGAGCCATGCAGATGTGTTTCCAAAACAGGTGTTCCCACAGTCAAGTGTTTGCTATAACACAGGTATGTTCTCTACAGATGTTCTCCAGTTAACAGTGATGCTTTCATTCAGCTATATCCCAAGTGGGAATGGGGTGTCTTTGTTATGTTAATTAGACAGGCTTAGTGTAGGGTATCTTGACTCAATCTCTTATGAGATATAAAAGAGATTAAACAAGCAAGTGAGCAGAACAGAGACGGGGTAAGATAGATGCCAAGACACAAGGCAATCTCCAAGGAACCAGGAAGCAGAAGCTGAAGAGATAAGGACCTTCCTCCAGAGGCAACAGAGAGAAAGCCTTCCCCCAGAGCCAGCACTCTGAATTCAGACTACTAGTCTCTTGAACTGTGAGAAAATAAATTCCTGTTTGCTAAAGCCACCCACTTATGGTTAGTTATGGCAACACTAGATAACACAGAATTTGGTACCAGAAGAGTGGGATGCTGCTCTAACAGATACCTAAAATGTTGAAGTCGTTTTAGAATTAGGTAATGGATAGAGGTTTGAAGAGTTTTAAGGTGCCTAATAGTAAAAGCCTAGGCAGTATCACTACAGAAGTAGATTGCCCCATCTTCCTTCTGAAGAGTGGTTGGTGGGTTTGAACCGCCAGCCTTCTGGTTAGCAGTCAAGTGCCTTAGCCACTATGCTACCAGCTGCCTCGGAAACCCAAGGAGGGGTCTCTATGAGTTGGGTCCGACTCGACAGCACATAACAACAGCAATAGTGAAAGCCTAGATTGCCTTGTAGAGACTGTTGGTAGAATTATGAACATCAAGGACAATTCTGGTGAGGGCTCAGAAAGACATGAGGAGAGCTACAGAGAAAGTATCATTGTAGAGACTTGCAACAGACTGTTGCTAGAAATGTGGGTTAAATGTGATTCTGGTGAGGCTTTAAAAGAAGAAAATGAACATGTGATTGGGCAATGGAGGAAGGGTGATGCAGTGACAAAGAATGTCTCTGAATTATGTAAGTGACAAAACTGGATATCTGGCTGAGATTTCTAAACAAGATCTCAAAGGGCCCATGCCCTGATAGTAAAATGTGAGAGCAAGGAGAACTTAAAAATGAACTGTGCAAAATGGAAACAGAATATACGATTTGGAAAATTCTGTTGTTTAAACTAAGGACACGTGTCCTACAATGTTCACCAAGGACGTGGCTACACAATCTTTTGTTAAGGAGATGAAGCCTGTGACTGATGGATCTAACCAACCACCACAACAGAAAACCCATCAGCTTAGACTGAAGAGGACAGAGAAAGAATGAAAGGAGAGAAGCTGTCTGCCTCTTGGAATCCTACAGACAGGAAGCAGGCCGAAGGAGCTATATCATTTGTCCCCCAAGAAAAGGAAAGGACCATTCCTGGAGCAGCTCAGAGACCAGTAGAATGGTTGGAAGGACAACGGGAAGCAGGGCCTTTTTGGGTTTCAAAGGGTGGGGCCGTGGTCTCCTGACCCTCAAAGGGTGGGGCTCAGCCTCCTGAATTTCAAAGAGTTGGATCTTTAATAACTGGATTCTGGACTGTTGCACTGCAATGAAGGTGTGCTAGGGTAATGGGGCCACTGCCCAAAATTGGGGGTGTGGGGCTGCCATGCCCAAGGGGCAGAAGAACTGGGCCTGGCAGGCTGAAGGAGTGGGGTCACCACTCGGAGGGACTAGGAGAATGGGGCCATCTGGAGCCAAGGGAGCAGAATTGTCATCCCTGTGGACAACTGGAGTTAAAGCCAGGGCTAAAGGGCCTCCACCAGAATAAGAGGGCACTGCCAGCACCCGGAGTCTGGAGGCTGAGGCCATCGCACAGATGGTCTCAGAGAAGAGGGGACTGTTTTTCAAGCCTTGAGAGCCAATGCAAATTGTTCTGCTCGGTTTTGGACTTGCTTGGGGTCTGTTATCCCTTCTTTTCCTCAAATTTCTCCCATTTGTAGCAGAAATGGCTACCTTGTGCCTGTTCCACCATTGCACTTTGGAAGCAGAGAACTTGTAGTCCGGATTTCACATGTTCACAGATGAGGAAAGATTTCATCCCAGGATGGAACATGCTGAAAGTCTCACCCCTTCTTGATTTAGATGCTTCAGAAGATGAGATTTTGAACTTGAAGTTCAGTCAAGAATTTTGGGATGTGTGATCGGGTGAATGTGTTGCATGTGGCAAGAACATGAATTTTGGGGCGCCAAAGGGTGGACTTTTGTGGACTGATTTGTTGTTAGGTGCTTTGCAGTTGGTTCCGACTCATAGTGACCCTACTATGTACAACAGAATGAAACACTGCCTAGTCTTGCACCATTCTCACAATTGTTGCTACGTTTAAACTAGCTGTTGCAGCCACAGTATCAATCTATCTAATTGAGGGTCTTCTTTTTCACTGACCCTCCACCAAGCATGATGTCCTTCTCCAGGGGCTGCTCCTTCCTGATGTCATGTCCAAAGTACATGGAGACTAAGGCTCACCATCCATGGTTCTAAGAAGCATTCTGGTTGCATTCTTCCAAGCCAGATTTGTTCATTCTTCTGGCAGTCTATGGCGTATTTAGTATTCTTTGCCAACCCCATAATCCAAAGGCATCAATTTGTCTTCATTCTTCCTTATTCGTCATATAGCTTTTGCATGCATGTGAGGTGACTGAAGCTTGATCAGGCGCACCTTAGTCCTGAAAGTGAATCTTTGATTTTTAACATTTTTTTTTTCTTGTGATTTGGGTGAAAATTTACAGAGCACATTCATTTTCCATACAGCAGTTCACATACACTTTGTCTCATGACATTGACCACAATTTACCACAATGCAACAGCTCCCCTCCCTCTTCCTCCCCATAGTTACCTCTTCCCAATGTCCATCCCTCCATGCCCTCCTGCCCCCTGAGCTGTCTCCCTGTGCATAAACAGCCCTTCTTTCTCCCATGATTGTTCTCTCTAAGGAGTGTATCTACCTCAGGTAAATGTTCAACTCCTATGCCTGTCTTTTGTTTGGCTGGAAGCCACAGGTATGGGTTCAATTCCAGACCTGAAGGGCAGCTAGGGACCATAGTCTCAGGGGTTCCACCAGGCTCTATCAGACCAGCAAACCTGGTCCTCAGGAGTTTTTTTGTGGAGCAGATTTGCCCAATACAATTTGTCATTTGACTTCTCGATTTATATTTTCCAAAAATATGTGTTGTAATTCTCAACTTTGAAGTCTGTGGTTATAATCCCATTTGGGAACAGGCTGTCTTTGTTATGTTAATGAGACAGGATTCGTGGGGTGCATCTTTTTAAAAAAATTATTATTATTATTTTTATTTTTGCAGTGTTCCCTCCCCTTGTCTCACACCCTGGGTAACTAACAAAGAAAGTTTCCTTCCATATATAAACCTTTCCTTGACTTTTTACAATAATGAACTAATACAATATTTGTCCTTCTGTGATTGACTTATTTCACTCAGCATAATGTTCTCCAAGTTCATCCACATTATGTGGTCTTTAGTGTTGCATAGTATTCCATTGTGTGTATGTACACCATAGTTTGGTTATCCATTTCTCAGTTGATGGACACCTTGGTTGTTCCCATCTTTTGGCTATTGTAAATAGTGCTGCAATGAATATGGGTGTGCATATCTCTTTTCTTGTCCTGGCTCTCACTTCTTTAGGATATATACCTAGTAATGGGAGCTCTGGTAGCATAGTGCCTAAGGCACTTGACTGCTAACCAGAAGGCTGGAGGTTCAAACCCACCAGCCACTTCTTGGAAGGAAGATGGGGCAATCTACTTCCGTAGTGATACTGCTTTGGAAACCGAAGGAGGGGTCGCTATGAGTTGGGTCCTACTCGATGGCAAATAATAACAAAGGGATTGCTGGATCAAAAGTTATTTCTAATTCCAACTTTTTAAGGAATCACCATACTACTTTCCACAGTGGTTGTATCATTTGACAGTCCCACCAGCAGTGTAGGAGTCTCTCCATATCTTTGCTAGCATTTGTTATTTTCTGTCTCGTTGAACTTTGCTACTAGTGCTGGGGCAAGATGGTATCTCGTTGTTTTGAGTTACATCTCTCTAATGGCTAATGATCATGAATATTTCTTCATGTGTTTGTCAACTGCCTGAATATCCTCTTTGGTGAAGTGTCTGTTCATGTCTTCTGCCCATTTTTAAATTGGATTGTTTGTCTTTTTGTTGTTGAGGTGTTGGAGTTTTCTATAAACTCTAGGGATAAGTCTCTTGTCAGATATGTTGTTGCCGAATATTTTTTCCCAGTGTGTAGGTTCTCTTTTTACTCCTTTGGAGAAGTCTTTTGAAGCACATAAAAATTTAATTTTTAGAAGGTCCCATTCATCTAGTTCATCTTTTGCTGTTTGCACATTTTGGGTTATGCTTGATGGTCTATTTATGCCATAAATTAGGGCCCCTAAATTTGCCCCCAGTTTTCCCTTGAGGAACTTTATAGTTTTAGGTTTCACATTTAAATCTTTGATCCATCTGGAGTTAGTTTTTGTGTATGGTGTGAAGTACAGATCTTGTTTTATTTTTTTTGCAAATGGATATCCAGTTTTGCCAGCACCATTTGTTAAAGAGACCATCTCTTCCCCATTTAATGGATTTCAGCCTTTTGTCAAAAATCTATTCTATTGGTCTATGTATCTGTCATTGTACCAATACCAGGCAGTTTTGACAACTGTAGCTGTATAGTAGGTTTTGAGATCTGGCAGTGTGAGACCTCCTATGTTGTTCTTCTTCAATAGTGTTTTGCTTATCCAAAGCCTCTTTCCTTTCCATATAAAGTTAGTGATTGTTTTTTCCATATCCTTAAAGAATGTTGATGGGATCTGGATTGGGATTTACTGAAATGTATAGATTGCTTTGGGTGGACTGACATTTTCACAACGTTCAATCTTCCTATCCATGAGCATGGTATGTTCTTCCATTTATGTAGATCTCTTATGGTTTCTTGAAATAGTGTTTTATAGTTTTCTTTGTACACGTCTTTTGTATCCCTAGTGAGATTTATTTCCAAATACTATTATTTTTTTGGTAGCTCTTGTCAATGGTATTGATTTCCTTATTTCCTTTCCAGCAATCTCTTTGCTGGTGTAGAGGAATCCAACTGATTTTTGGATGTTGATCTTGTATCCTTTCACTATACTAAATCTCTCATTTAATTCCAGTAGATTTTTGACTGAGTCTCTTGAGTTTTCTAGGTAGAGGATCATATCATCGGCAATTAGGGATAGTTTGACTTCTTCCTTCTCAATTTGGATGCCTTTGACTTTCCTTTCTTGCCTTATTACCCTGGCTAGGACTTCCAGTACAACGTTGAATAGAAGTGGTGATCGATGGCATCCTTGTCTGGTTCCTGTTCACAAGGGGAATGGTTTCAGTCTGGAGGAGTGTATCTTGAGTCAATCTCTTTTGGAATGTAAAAAGAGAATAAACAAGCAAGCAGAGGAGAGATGGGATAAGACAGATGCCAAGACAGATGGAAATCTCCAAGGAACCAGGAAGCAGAAGGTGAAGAGACAAGGACCTTCCTCCAGAGTCAACACTGAGAGAAAGACTTTCCCTGAGCTGGCACTCGGAATTCAGATTTCTAGTCTCCTAAACTGTGAGAAAATAAATTTCTGTTTGTGAAAGCCACCTCCTTGTGGTATTTCTGTTACAGCAGTGGTAGAGAACTAAGACACCTAGATTGATATGATTCACCCAATGTCTCCCACAGGTGTTCCTCTTACACCTGAACATCCATGCGGTGTGTTCGACACAGGTTTAGCCGCACACAGGTGTGTACCCCACAATGCTTTTTCATTCGGGCTCCCCATTTGGGTCTGTCCCAGGTGGGGTGCTTCATACACAGTTGTCTACCTGCCCCATGTCTCACCTGTGCCATCCTACAGTTGTGTCTGCAATACAGGTGTGACGTCCCACTGACCCTCCCGCTCTGCTCCTCTTCCCCAGGATGGGATTGGATCCCCTTTACAGGTGCGCCCGCGCCACCTCCCCGCCCCCCTGGCTCCGCCCCCTCACCAAGGCTCAGGTGCATAAGCCGGAAGTGCGCTCCGCTCCCAGGTGAGTGACTAAACTTTCCGGGTCATGTGAGCGGGCGGAGCCGCTCGGAATCTGCCGGAGCGACAGACCGACGGTCGGACCGAGAGTTCGAGCGAGGGACCCAGACCGAGAACCTGAGCCAAGTGGAAGACTCCCGGGCCAGGTAGGGAGGCGGGACGCGCGGCTGGGCCTGGCGCCCGGGTCACCTTCCCTCTCCCTGGGCCCGGAACGCGGGGCCCCGAGTTAATCTTTAATCTCTGACCTCTGTCGGCGGGGCGGGGCTGGACTCCGGTGGCCTGGCGCCTGGCGCCCCTCCCATGGGCCTGCGCCGGGGTCCAGTCCTGTTCCCCACGCCCGGCCTCATTCCTCTTCCTGCCCCCAGGTGCCCGGTGGCGGGGACCCCCGGCCTGAGATGCGGTAGGCGTGGCGCTCGCCAGAAGCCCGGTCCCCGGCGCCACCCACCCGTCGCCCAGTCCATGGCGAGCCCCGGCCTGGGGCTGCTCCTGGCGCTCGGCCTGCCACTGCTGCCGGCCTCCTGGGACCAGGTCTGGGGACAAAGTAGGTACCTGCGGGGAGCACCGAGGGGTAGGGCTGAGACTCCCGGGTCTCTGCGAGGGGCAGGGCTTAGAAGCGCGGATTACCTGGGGAACAGAGAGGAACAAGGACTGGGGAACGCCTTGAGATGCCTGGGAGGGTGGGGGAGGGCGTCTAAAGGATCAGGCTTGGGGGTTAGAATTTCTAGCTCCTTCCTTAGAGGGTCACGTTGGTCTTCAAGTATTTCTGGGTCCTGAGAGAGGTGGAGATGTGGGTGCTAGACTCGCAGAGGGAGAGAAGGGGAGACCTATGTCTTGAGTCTTGGTAGAGCCGAGGTGTCTTGGGCAGAGTGGGAGCCAGGCGGAGGCCTTCATGGGGCCCTGTGCCCTACTGTGGACCCAGCCATTCAGGCCTCCTATTTCAGTTTCGAGAATCTGGGGGAAGGTATGAGTCAGCCACTCCAGGCAAAAGATTGAAATTGCCCCAGATCCAAAAAGGCCTAGGGATGTCAAGCTGGAGGTGGGCTTCTGGCTCCATCTATTATAACAGGCCCCACTCAGAACACCAGGAGCTCTGGTGGCGTAGTGACTAAAGCATTTGACATGAACCGGAAGGTTGGCGGTGCAAACCCACCAGCCACTCCACAGAAGGAAGACTGGCAATCTACTTCTGCAAAGGTTTACCACCTCGGAAACCCAATGGGGGTCGCTGTGAGTTTGATCCACTCGATGGCAGTGGGTTTGGTTTGGTGGTTCAGCACACCAGGACCTCTGGTGGTGCAGTGCCTAAGGCATTTATTTGACTGCTAACCAGAAGGCTGGCAGTTCAAATCCACCAGCCACTCCACAGAAGGAAGATGGGGCAATCTACTTCTACAATGATTTACTACCTTGGAAACCCAATGGAGGTTGCTATGAGTCAGAATAGACTTGGTGGCAGTAGGTTTGGGTTTTTTTGGTTTCACTCAGCACAAACAAACAGGAGCCATGGGTGGTGCACGTGGGTCACGCACTCGGCTGCTAACCAAAAGGTCAGCAGTTCAAACCCACCCAGCGCCTCTGCAGGAGACTGATGTACCAGTTGGCTTCTGTGAAGACGACAGCCTTGGAAATGCTATGGGCAGTTCTACTCTGTCCTACAGGACTGCTAGGAGTTGGAATCAACTCCATTGGCAGTGGGCTGTTTTGGGAGGGGGCTCCGCTGGTCTAGTCCTGGCCTGCACGGCACCCTTAATCTCTTTGCGAATGGAAAACACAGAAGGATAATGCTGACTGAGTCCTGTTGGGCTGCTACCTGAAAAGTTAGTGGTTCAAGTTCAACCAGAGGTACCTAGGAAAAAAGGCCTGGCAATGTACTTCCAAAAAATCCACCATCAAAAATTTTGTGGTGCACAGCTCTACTCTGACACACATGGGCTTGTTATGTGTCAGAATAGATCTGACGGCAACTCTTTTTTCTTGGCCTGGTGGGGACGCCAAGGAAAGTGCAGCCAGGCTGAGACAGGAAGAATAGATGGGGATTAATTTACCCTCTCCACCCCCCAGCACTGGAGCCCTCCCAAGTAACTCAGAACATCACCATTACTCCCGCTGGGCCCAGCTCGGATGGAGCCCTGGTGAGTTGGGAGTGTTTGGGAGGAGGGCAGGTGGGCATGTTGTGCAGGGATCCTACGTGGGGTGGGTGGAGGAGTTAGACCGCCAGATGGAAGGCGGTTGGAGAGACCCAAGTGGGAGACACCAGACATGGCAAATGGTGAGACCAAGAGCCTCAGACTAGAAAGATCCGGGAAACCCAGGAGGAAGGTAGACAAGAATACCATATGTGGCAAGGGTAGGGGGTCAAGAGTCCCATAGACCTCTCAGGGGATAAGCTGGCAGATAAGATAGGTGTGTAGGGGAGGGCCCAGGTACGGCAGCTGGGACCCAGATGGGATAGATAGGGCTCAGGAACCTTGGGTGGGAGCACCCAAAGTGGCAGATGGAGAGGGGAAAGGAGCCCCGATGCCTCTCAGGTGAGGTAGATGGGACCCCCCCAGACGAGCCCTGAGATGCCGGGGGCACCCCGTCCCCTGCCCTGCAGTCCCAGGAGGCCATCACCGCCATCATCGTGGTCTTCTCCATCCTGGCCGCCCTGCTCCTGGCTGTAGGGCTGGCGCTGCTGGTGCGGAAGCTGCGGGAGAAACGGCAGACGGAGGGCACCTACCGGCCCAGCAGCGAGGAGCAGGTGGGTGCCCGCGCGCCACCGCCCCCCAACCTCAAGCTACCGCCGGAGGAGCGGCTTATCTGAACCCTGGGGCCCATCGCTGCCACTGTCACCGACACCGCTGCCCAGAACCGCCTGCTGTTCGCCAGCACGTGGCAACCACGAGAGCAGCCTCTAAGGGCTCAGGCCTTGGGGGGCCAGGGGCACCTGCAGCATGTCACCTCTGCTTGACTTCACGAGGAGCTGGGCTGCAAGGGCTGGGGACCCGCCACCCTGCTTGCTGCACCGTCTTCCCTGCCGTCTGTCCAGCTGCCAGGCCGGCCCTACAACCCCCTCTCCTTTCCTTTCAGTCGTCCCATGCAGCTGAGGCCCGGCCTCCACAGGACTCGAAGGAGACGGTGCGGGGCTGTCTGCCCATCTAGGTCCCCTCCCCTCCCTTTCCCTCTCCCTGGCTGTGTGTTGCTGGGGAAGACAGAGCCCACTCTGGGCCCACAGACCCACCCAGTGCTTAAGAATAGAAAGGATGAAGGTGCTTCGTAGACTGCCCCTGAAGAGCCTGGGAAGGTGGGGCAGATCACGTTCTCTTTTTTATAAAATCGGTAGTGAGATATATTGAAAAACCAACAAATAAAAAGCCATTGCCATCGAGCTGATCCCGACTCATGGCAATCCCATGGAATACAGAGTAGAATTGCTACCTAGGATTTTCTTAGCTGTAAACTTTAGGGAAGCAGATCACCAGGCCTGCCTTCTGCAGTACCCCTCGGTGGGTTTGAACTGCCAATGGAAGGTTAGTTGTGGAGCACTAGCTGTTTGTACTATCCAAGGACCTAATAATGCTACTGATGATTTTTTTTTTTTTTTTTTTGAGGGCAAGATTTAGTCCAGAATGAGAAGACCAAGGCAGGACTCATAGACTGTGAAGCTAGGAGGGCTTCCTGGAGGAGAGGGGCATTCAGCTGCATCCAGAAGCCACCTAGAGGGAGAGTAATGAGTGGTGCAGTTTCCAAGCAGAGAGAGGGACTCACCAGGAAAAAAATGGTCTTGGGCTCTTATGGCTTTATTGAAGAACTGGGGTCTCTTCTAGACCCCTGAACCTTAACCCTCAAAACACTTCTTAAGCTCAGAGACTCGGGGTCGGCTTCTGGCCTGGGGCTCCCAACCGTCATCACTGATGGGAGCAGCAAGGGTTCTGGGGGCTCCCAACTCTTTCAGGGGCTGGAGATGAGCCTGCTCTGCCAGCAGGCCCTGGGAAGGCTGGGCTATGGGGGTCACTGGGGAACTGGGATCTGGAGAGGCACCCGGAGGCTGGGACACCCCGGCAGTATCAAGGTTGGACTTGGGTCGGGGGCTTTCTGGAGGGTTGGGCTGGCTCTGCATGGCAGAGAGGGAGGAACAGGTGTTCTGCTGGCTTCTCAATTCTTCCTGTGCTTCGTGGGGAGGAGAGAGGTGTAGAATCAGGGGGCAGGGCTCAGTGGGAAGAGAGGATTCTGGGTCCCCTTGGCTGCTTGGGTCTGCAGAGACAGCTGAGGGCTGGGAGGGAGACATGATGTCTTGGCAGGGTTCTGAAGGCAGCTGGGAACCGGGGTTTTTTGAGCAGCTTGAGGTGTCTGAGGTCTGGGGGTCTCGGAGAGACAGCAGTTCAGTGGGCAGGGAGAGCAGTTGGCATTCTGGTGCCCTCTCATCCTCGGGATTCCATCTTGGTCTCCCTGGTACCTCCAGCTGGGCGGAGGTGGGGAGGAGACAGGTAAGGTGGAGGCTTGTAGAGAGGGGCTGTGGGGGAGGAGGAGGGGAGGCTCTCACCAGGCTGAAGCCACCGTCCACATCCTCTCTGTGACAGCAGTCCAGGCTCTGGCTGGGGCGCAGGCTCCCTGTGCTTCTGACGCCCACGTTCAGACTGTCTAGAATCTCACTCAGCAAGTCCAGTTCCTCTCCGGACCCCAAGAAGCTGCTGTCCAGGGCTTCCTCTGCCCACGAGCCCCCGGCATCCTCAGGGCTCAGAGGGGGCATCCTGGGTGAGGGTGGGCAGCCTCAGGTGTCTGTCTCCCTGAGACCCCACCCCCAACCCTGGTCCCTTGGCTCTGGGGTCTGGAGTTATCCTTCTCTTCAGTCCTGGCCTCCCACCTCCAACACTTACACCGGGGGCTCAGAAGGTCCTTCTTTCAGCCGGTGATGTCTGCTCGGGCGAAGGGGCCGGTTCTGCAAGGGACAGATTTGGAGAAGGGATGGGTGGAGAAGGGCCTTCTGGAAGAAGAGGGTGAGTCTTGGAGCAGATGAGGAGGGAGGCAAGGTCCCTGAATCAAGAGTAAAATGGGAAGAGAATTCTATGCTAATTCCAGGGCTGTGTGTGCTGTGGGGAGCCCCTGGGGAGTGCAGAGTGTGAACATGTGGCTGCTAACCCGAGGGCTGGAGGTTTGAGTGCACCTGGAGTTACCCGAAAGAAAGGCCTGGTGATCTACTTCTGAAAAAGCAGCCGTTAGAAACCCTATAGCATAGCTCTACTTTATTATTATTATTATTTAAGGAGGTTAGGCCTGGCAATCTATTTGAGAAAAAAATAAGGCAATGAAAACCCTATGGGGCATAAGGCTGTCTTTTATAACCAATCATACACCAGATAGGGCAGTATTTTGTTTCATTTTGCATGAGGGCACCATGAATTGAAGGCCAACTAAATGGCAATTAGCAACAATAATGATCATTATAATTGACTAACCAAGAGCCAGGCACTCTACAGGGCAATTTCACAACAGTCAACTTATTTAAACTTCATAGGAACACAGTGAGGAAGGTATTCGTATTCTCATCGTACAGACAACAAACTTCAGGCTCTGAGAAGTGACGTGCCAATGTCTAATTAATAACTGGCTGGGCTGAGTTATCAACCCAGGTCACCTGCTTTTCGTTCTGAGGTCCAGCACACACTACTCTTGACACACGGGGACGCCATGAGTCAGTGGCACCTGGTTACTGGGATGGGCACTGGGGCAGGAGGTGAGAGGGTCCTTACTTGTCCAAAGTGCTGGGTGATCGGCAGGCGCTGTTGCAGGCGATCTGACCGGCTGGTCAGAGACGGCGTCCTCAGGGAGCCCCCTCTCTGCAGGCTAGAGCTCCCATCCTGGGGGGAGGGGAGGTGAGCCGGGAGCCCCTTCCTCCACGTTCCCCTACCCCTTGGTGGTTGGTCTTACCTTGTACATCAGAAGGCTCTGCACCCCCTTCCAGCCACTCTTGGCCTGCAGAGAAGTTGAGAGGGAATTAGACTTGAGGGTGGTCAGGTGCGGCATTTTTGACCTCAGCCTTCTGTTCCCTAGGACAGGTGTGGGCTTTCTGTCTTGCCATCTGTCTGTCTGTTTCACAAATGTGTCCACTGTTGCCTCGAGCATCACCTCAACACCAGCCTTTGCCCCTTTGACTAATTCAGAAGTATTCCTGGCAGGGGTGTGTGTGTGTATGCAAACTGAATATGTTCAGCTACTAACCAAAAGGTTGGAGGTTCGAGTCCTCCATAGGTGCTTTGGAAGAAAGGCCTGGCAATCTACTTCAAAAAAAAATCAGCCATTGAAAATCCTATGGACACAGTTTGACTCACATGAGGTTGCCATAACTTAGAGTCAACCACTTTTTTAAAAATATATATTATTTCTGGAAGAAAAAAAAAATCAAATGAGGCATGGTAAAAACAGAACAGTGGAAAACATGTCAGTGGCTGAAAGCAGAACTAATGAAGTCTAATGGCCAATTGTGAGCTGAAAGTGTTGGCGCCTGGGGAAATTGGACTTGGGACAGAAGCTGGAATTGTAGGATCTGAGGACAAAAGGTGTTTGCCAATGAGTCCTGGGTATCCTTTTTATAGCAAGAACGGTGAAATGGAACATGTGAGAAGGACAGTTAACTATTCAACTGCCGGTGCAGTTCTGATAAAAAGATTTGCACTTAAAAGGTCTGTATTCTATGTCCCCTCCCCCTCATCATCCCACCAAATGTGGGTCGGCTACTTGCTTACTGAGCGGTACACGTTCCTCACAGCTGGTTGGGTCTTAGCCTTGACCGAGTGCAGGAGGGCACCACCACCTTTCTGGAAAGACAAGGGAGACAGATGTGGGCCTCTGGGGTCCTGGGGCCGGACCCTAGACGCTACTTCCCCACCCCATGTGTGTGATGCTGGACAAGCCCATCTCCCTCTCTGGTCCACATTCCTCATCTGTGTAAATGCATATAAAGATGGTGTGGCTAAGGCACTTGACTGTTAACCAGAAGGCTGGCGGTTCAAACCCACCAGCCACTCCTCGGAAGGAAGGTTGGGCAATCTACTTCCGTAGTGACACTGCCTCGGAAACCCAAGGAGGGGTCGCTATGAGTCGGGTCCGACTCGACGGCACATAACAACAACAACCACCATCACCTCAGGACTGTGGTGGGATTAAATGAATTCAATAACAAGCAGGTGACAGGTGTTTGGTATTTTACCTTCAGGTTGTCTGCCCAGAGCTGGTAGGAGCGGAGGGCGCCTGGAGTGAAGAGAGAGTGTGGTTATCCCAGGCTGGCTTGGCTGGGGGGTGGGGACGCGGAGGCTAGCTCGGGCCTCACCTGCGGAGGCCTCGCTGCAGGTGATTTCCTGCTCAAAGAGATCTGAGAAGCCCTCTCCGGTGTTGAGCTTCTCCAGCCGGCCTTCGATAAACTGGGGGTGAGGGAGAGCGTCGGGTCAGACGCACATCTGAACGCAGGGACTCGGACCTAGAAGCCACCATCCCCTTCCCCTCCACGACCCAAGAGTTGTTCCTCTCCACGGAGTCTGGGTCCCACTTCTGGAAGCCAAAGGTCCAAACTGCCCTCAGGGAGTCAGAGAAGCCGGCACACGCCGGCTCCGACCACGGAGCGGGTCGGATTCCGCCTTCAGGGACCCAACAACCTAGCCTCCTCCGGAAAGACCTGGACTCCAGCCGCCTTCGCCCAGGAGCTCGCGTGCAGACCCGCCTCTCCCTCCACCCCAAAGGGAGTTGGCGGTCTGGACGTGCCCCCGCTGGAGTCTAGCGCTGACCCCCATTCCCTTGCGTGGGCGACCCCTTGAAGATCCAGGAACTTGGTCCCATCTCAGTCCTCCCAGGGACCTCAGAGTAGGTCTCATCTCAGGAAGTCTGGAGTCCAGTCTGACCCATTTAAGAATCTGCCTTTCAGCCCTGCCTCTCACTCCTGGAGCTCTGGTGGCATGGTGCCTAAGGCATTTGACTGCTAACTAGAAGATTGGTGGTTCAAACCCACCAGCCTCTCTGCAGAAGGAAGACTGGGCAATCTACTTCGGTAAAGATTGACCTCCTGGGAAACCCAAAAGGGGTTGCTATGACTCAGAATCGAGTGGATGGCAGTTGAGTTTGTTTTAGTTGTTTTCTCGCTTATGGAGAATCAGAAGTGGGGGACCTCACCCGACCGGCTCCAGCCCCGCCCTCAGTATCTTAAAGTCAACCCCAGTTTCGCCCTTCTGGCCGCGGCTCCGTCTCTGGGACCCCGGAGTCATTCCCCAACCCAGCACTCTGGCCCTGGTCCCCGCCCTTAGGAAGCTAGGATCCCACGCTCAGCCTCGCCCCGCCCCCAGGTAGCCAGGCGTCCACTCCAACCTCACCCCTCTGGCCAGGCCCTGCCCACAGGAACTGAGGAGTCCGCCCCCGTCCCACCCCCCGGCCCCAGCTCCGCCCCCAGAGGCTCAGGAATCCATCCCAGCCCCAACCCTCTGGCCGGGCACCGCCCACTGGAACCCAGGAGTTGGCCCAATCGGGCCCCTCCAGCCCGGCTCGCAGGCTCCCAGGAGTCTGTCTAGCCCCTCCCCTTTAGCCCTGCCCGGTCCCTGGCAATCCAGGAGCCTGTCCCCAGCTGGGGAGTAGCCCCTACAGCTCTATCAGCCCTGTCCCTCTCAGGGAGCAAGCGCACCTGTTTGAACAGCTGCAGGTGCACGGCCCGCCGGTGGAAGTCCTGTAGGGGCGCCCCGGGCTTCTGAGCCAAGAAGGCTTCCTCACTGAAGGTCACGGGCTGGCCCTGGAAGAAGTACCCGCTCCCTGGTCTCCCTGTGGCCCCGCTGCCCTCATGCTATCGTGTATCTATGTAGCAAATATTGATAGAGCGTCTGCCGTCCAGCCCTGTGCAGGGCCCTGTGGGCTGCAGGGAGGACTTCGGCTTTTACCCGGGGAAGGAAGGAGCCGAGGATTGTGAACAGAGGAGGGACAGGCCCTGACTCAGGTGCTCACGGGCGCCCTCTGGCTACTGCGGGGTAGGGGGACAGAACTTGCGGGGCAAGAGCAGAGGCTGCTTCTCCGGCCCAGCGAGCAATGGGCAGCAGAGGGTGGGGCCAGAGGAGAGCGCGCGGATTTTAAACAGACAGCAGATAAGAACATCAACTCCTGGCACCCTCGCCAACGATTACATAGAAAAATTGTGAAAAAGGAGGCTTGAGAGTCATCAGATAAAGGTGGGAATCCTCGTTTCAACCCTCACTTGCTGTGGAGATGGGAGCGCTGGTAGCGTAGTGCCTAAGGCATTTGGCTGCTAACCAGAAGGCTGGAGGTTCAAACCCACCAGCCAGCCACTCCTCGGAAGGAAGACTGGGCAATGTACTTCCGTAGAGATACCGCCTCGGAAACCCGAGGAGGGGTCGCTATGAGTCAGGTCTGACTCGCCCGCACATAACAACAGCAACAACATGCTGATTAACATGCATTTGCGGATTCATATGCATGTGCGATCATTCGAGTAGATTGCGACTCATAAGGCCCCCATTGGGTTTCCGAGGCTGTAAATCTTTACGGAAGTAGATCTCCCCATCTTCCTTCCTCAGAGCAGCTTGTGGGTTTGAACCGCTGACCTTTTGGCTAGCAGCCAAAGGCCTTATCCACCACACCACCAGAGCTCATTACTCTCAATACCCAGCCAGACTTTTGGGTGAGTTCCATCGGAATCCCATTTCACAGACCAGCCAACAGAGGCCCAGACCAAGTGATCAGTAAATGCCAGATACCATCACTGTGACTTCTTCAGGGACCCACAAGGCCTTGCCCCCGGCGTCCCCGCTGCTCACCGGGTTGCAGACAAGTGCGTCGCGGTAGCCCCCGAAAAGCAAGGCTTGGGCTTTTAGGAACAGACGGGACACTCCTTCCCCCGGGGCCAGGGCGACCTTCCTTAGCCTCAACCTCAGCAGAGACACCTGGAGGAGAAGGGGGCGGGCGCGTAGGCGGCTACGGAGGCTCCACCTCTCAAGGCGGGAGGAGGGCGGGCGGGGGCGGGGACGACACTGACCACGTCCGGGGGCAGCGCCTGCACGTCGTCAAAGGGCGTCTCTAAGGTATTGGAGTCCACGTTCATCACCACGACGTCCTCCAGGGCTTTGTCTCGTACTCTCTGCAGACGATGAGGGTGGCCGCTTAGGGCTCCAGATTCCTGGCTGGGGAGGTATCTGGGGATGGGGGGGTCCCGCCTGTCCCCGTCGCCCGGGTCCGCCCCAACTCACCTCCGCCAGACTGGCGTGCACCCCAATGAGGTATGGCATGGGCGCGCTGCGGACCAGGGGGTGGTGTCATGCAGGCGCCACCCTCAGGTCCCCAGGCCTCTTCCCCAGGCCCCCCTCCCTCACCAGCAATAGTCCAGCAGATGCGGAGGCAGCGTGGGGATCAGAACGTGCTCCCAGCGCATGGGGTACAGGAGAGCGCAGGACGCGTGAACGCACGAGGTCAGCTGGGGACGGGTGGGGCCGTGGGATCAGGGCCTGAGACAGCGCTTCACTCAGCGGCATTCCCGCATCCTATCTCCGTCCTCCCCCACGTTACTGGGAAAGGGGCAAAAACTCAGACCCCTACAGAAATCTAGTAGGGGACTTTGAGGGAGGGGAGCCAGGAGTCAGCCCCCACTGACCCCACCTCCAAAGAGGCGGGGCCAGGACTGAGCCCTCTCAATCCCTCCTCATAAAACTCACTGCTGTAGTTTTCTGACTCATAGCGACCCTTTCCTGGGTTTCCAAGGCGGTATCTCTAGGAAAGCAGATTGCCCAGTCTTCCTTCCAAGGAGTGGCTGGTGGGTTTGAACCGCCAGCCTTCTCATTAGTAGTCAAATGCCTTAGGCACTAGACACCAGAGCTCCTCATGTTGTTGTTATGTGCCTGCCTAGGAGTCGGACCCGATTCATAGCGACCTCTCCTTGGGTTTCTGAGGCAGTATCACTACGGAAGTAGATTGCCCAACCTTCCTTCCAAGGCGTGGCTAGTGGGTTTGAACCGCCAGCCTTCTGGTTAGCAGTCAAGTGCCTTAGGCACTACGCTACCACAGCTCCTTAAACTCATAGCGGGTAGCGAGCTCTGGTAGCATAGTGCCTAAGGCACTTGACTGCTAACCAGAAGGCTGGTGGTTCAACCCCACCAGCCACTCCTCGGAAGGAAGGTTGGGCAATCCTACTTCCGTATTGGTACTGCCTCGGAAACCCAAGGAGGGGTCTCTATGAGTCGGGGCCGACTCAACGGCAAACAACAACAACAACAGTACAACAACAACATCATTCAAGCCCTAGGGGAGGAGCCAGCAATCAGCCCTTCTAGTACTTCAGGAGCTCTGGTAGCATAGTGCCTAAGGCACTTGACTGCTAACCAGAAGGCTGGCGGTTCAAACCCACCAGCCACTCCTCGGAAGGAAGGTTGGGCAATCCTACTTCCGTAGTGATACTGCTTCGGAAACCCAAGGAGGGGTCGCTATGAGTCAGGGCAACTCGATGGCATATAACAACAACAACAACAGTACTTCCCATCAGGGTGGAGCTGGCGGGAGCTCTGGTGGTGTAGTGCCTAAGGCATTTGACTGCTAATTAGAAGGCTGGCGGTTCAAACCCACCAGCCACTCCCCGGAAGGAAGGTTGGGCAATCTACCTCCGTAGTGATACTTCCTTGGAAACCCAAGGAGGGGTCACTATGAGTCGGACATGACTCCACCGCAGTGAGTTTGGTTTTGGTTTAGTGATGTCATTCTCAAGGAGACCTAGTGGTTAAGACTCTGGGCTGCTAACCAAAGGGTCAGCCGTTCGAATTCACCAGGTGGTCCATGGGAGAAAGACGTGGCAGTCTGCTTCCGTAAAAATTTACAGCCTTGGAAACCCTATGGGGCCGTTCTGCTCTGCCCCATAGGGTTGCTACCAGTAGGAATCAACTCCAGGGCAGTGGGTTTGGTTTTAGTTTGGACTTCACCCTCCAGAAGGGCGGAGCTAGGCTTATTTTGATCCATAGGGGATGAAGCCAGGATTGAACTATCCAGGATTTAACTTTGTTATCTCCGAAGAGTCCGAGATGGAGCTCTGCCCTCCGGCCCCGCCCCCTGGGAGGTGAGGCTTCCCCCACTGCCCCGCCCAGGGGCGGAGCCAGCTTCTACCCGCCCCGCGGGCCCCGCCTACGGTGCTGAGCTTGCTGGCAGTGAGCAGGACCCTTCGCTCCGCCAGCAGCGCCGCGAACAGCCCCACGATGTTCTCGTCGGTCACCGCCACCACCAGCTCCGTTAGGTTCCTCTGAAGAGCAGAGAGGCGCGCTGGGCGCGGACGGACGCAAGGACCTCTACCCGCCCGCCGAACCCCCTCCCAGGTTTCTACTCACGTTCTCAGGGATGGATGGCAGGCGGCCCGAGTCCGGGGCCACGAAGCAGGAACGCTGGTGGGAGGATCGGCAGGGGGACCAGTCAGTCGGGAGCTGCCCTCCCCTGGGTGGCTGGCCTCCCAGCGTTCCCGAGCTCCACTCACCGGCCTGCTGTTCCCTGGAGTAGCCGGCTGGATGCTGTGCGCGCTGGAGACCATTAGTCCGCTGCCCTGGGGGCGAAGGGTTTCTGTGTAGTTCCCAGGGCAACCTCCTTCTCCACCTGAGGCCCGCCGCCAGGGGTGGGGGCTACTCACCAACTCCAGCCCCACCAAGGCCTGGGGCTCGGGCGGGGGCTGTTGCAGAAGATTTTGGAGCAGTTCTTCAGCCTCCGAGACCTAGGTGGGGGCAGGGTGTCTGAGCCAGACGGGGGTGGTGGTGAGGGGCTTGGTTCAGGCTGGGGGGTCTGGGTGGAGCAAAAAGGGGCGGGCCTGCTGAGAGGGGCTGGGGGCTTAGGTAGGGGAAGGGCTGGGACGCAAGCAGGCATTGGGGGGGGGGCTGGTCTCACTTGGCCCTGGGCCAGGAGGTCCCCCACGTTGTTGAGCAGCTTGTAGAAGACTTCGAACCAAGGCAGGTGGCTGTGGAGAGGGGAGACAGGGGGAGCCTCAAGAAGGGCCCCCTGGCCAGGTCCTCTGTCCCCCACCCCCACCCTAGGCCTCCAGGCTCCACACCTGAGAATGCACAGGCAACTCTGGGCGCCTGCCCGCAGGCGGCAGAACCCAAACCTGCGGTTGCCAGCCAAGTCGGTGAGAGCGAAGGTGAAGTGCTGGACAGCAGGGCTGGGGGGCTCCCTGCAGGGCAAAGAGCTCTGAGAGAGACCTGGGCACCCCAGCTCCCTGACCCATACCCAGTCCCCCAGCACCACGGTGTGACTGAGTTCCTGAGTCCCTGGGCATCCGGGTCCCTGGGTCCCTGGGTGTCTGAGTCCCTTGGGCCCTGGATCCCTGGGTCCCAGAGTGTCTGCTCCTTTTGTACCTTTCCACATCAAAAGGGAAGCAGAATTTGGGCACCATCTGCATAGCTTCCTGGGGGTGGAGAGAAGCACAGAGCTTGGCCACTCTGGTTGGGCCTCCACTCATGAGCTCCAGGTCCAAGGCCCAGAGTCCCCTTCTCCCTGGGGAACTGGCCCTGGCCCTGGGGAGGACAAAGAGCCAACCTGCATACCTGGTCCCTGAAGTCTGGGGGGAACTGCCGCAGGATGGGGGGATCTGTGGGGAGAGCAGGCCTGTAAGTCCAGGCCTCAGGCCCCTTCTACTCACACCCACCCCTGCCTGATGTTCCCCTCTCCCCTCACACACACACTCACCCTCCTGCAGGGAGGCTGGGCAGGCTGCTTCAAAGAACCAATCAAACACAGCAGGTGGACTCCCTCTGCGGAATAGGAAGGGGCTTAGGGGGTCCAGGCACTTGCTTCTGTGTGGGGAGGAATCCTTGCAGCTCTGCATGCATGTGTGACTGTGCATGATGATAGTGTGCGCGTGGCTTCATGGATGTTCAGCTGTGTGTGCATGGCCCTGGGGTTTGTGATGATGAGTGTGTGTGTGCAACTCTGTGTACATGAGTGTGTGACTGGGTGTGCAGGAGTGTATGACTGCATGTGACTGGGCGTGCATAGTGTTCAACAGTGTGACTGGGTGTGCATGAGTGTGTGGGTGTGCATGAGTGTGTGACTGGGTTGCATGAATGTGCACGAGTGTGTGACTGGGTGGACCGAGTGTGGATGACTGAGTGTGACTGGTGTGATTGCATGTGCATGAGTGTTTGACAGTGTGCCTGGTTATGCATGAGGGTGACTGGGTGTGACTGGGTGTCATGGGTATTTAACTGAGTGCACATGGGTGTGCATAACCCTTGATGTTTGTGATGGCAAGTGGTTGTGTAAGGCTGTGTGTACATGTCTGTGAGTTGTAACCGTGAATATGGGGAAGAGAGGATTCCTTGAGAGAGTACCACTCTGTGTGTTGTGTGACTGAATGCATGACTTATATGAGCATGTGTGTATGTGAGTGTGTGATTCCATGTGGTGTCTGCCAAAAAGGATGAGGCTGTCTAGTGTGTATGTTGGGTGAGGCTGTGTGTTTGTGGTTCAGCAGGTGTCAGGGCAAACAGCGCCAATGTCTGTGGCATGGCTTGAATTATGTCCTCCGGAAAGAAATGCTGAAGCCCTACCCCCCTGCTACCTGTGACCGAACCCTTTTTTGGTAATAGGGTCTTTGAAGACGTTAGGTTCACATGAGGTCACACTGGAGTAGGGTGGGTCCTAATCCAATAGGAGTGGTGTCCTCATAAAAGAGAAGAGAAACGCAGAAGGCAGACGCCATGTGAGGACAGAGGCAGAGATAGGAGGGATGTAGGCATAAGCCAAGGATTGCTGGGAGCCCCCAGAAGCTGGAAGAGGCAAGGAAGGACCCACCCCTGGAGCCTCCAGGGGGCGCATGGCCCTGCCGACACCTGGAGTTTGGACTTCTGACCTCCAGTGGTGATCCAGTAAGTCCCTGATGGTTTAAGCCACCCGGCTTGTAGCCTTTGCTGTGGAGGCCTAGGACACTAGTCCAGTCTGCTAGCATGGCTCAGACTCTTCCTGAGTAAAGGTGTGGACACTTCTGTGGGCTTGAGAGCAAATTTGGCCAACCCCAAATCTCTCACCAGGTACAAACCCAAGGAGGTCCCTGAGCGGTGCAAATGCTCTTGCTCTTGGCTGCTAACCCAAAGGTTGGCTGTTTGATCCCCCTCAGTGGTGCTGCAGAAAAAAGGTCTGGTGATCTGCTTGCATAAAGATTGTTGCTGTTCATTGTCGTCTGGTTGGCTCTGACTCATGGCAACCCACTGTGTGTCAGAGTAGAACTTTGCTCCATTGGATTTTCAAGGCTCCAGCCTTTCAGAAGCAGATCACCAGCTCTACCTCCCAAAGTACCTTGAGTGAGTTTGAGTCACCAACCTTTCCTCTAGGAGTCAAGTGCTTAACCGTCTGTACCATTACAGCTGAGAAAACCCTACGGAGGACAGTTCTCTCCTGCAATATGTGAGATCACCACGAGTTGCTGTGGACTGGATGACAGTGGGTTTGGTTTTTGAGTTTTTGATCATGTTAAGGTACTAGTGTGGTGTGAATGGTTTGCGCTCACCTACTAACTAACCTAAAGGTTGGCAGTTCAAACCCACCCGGCGGCGCCATGAAAGAAAGGCCTGGCAATCTGCTTCTGCAAGATCACAGCCAAGGAAACCCTATGGAGCATTTCTGCTCCGTACACATGGGATTGCCAGGAGTTGGAGTGGCCTCCAAAGCAATGGGTTTGGTGTATTATTTTGGTTGCAGCTCTGCCTTTCTCCCTTCCCTGCCCCCCACACCACCCAAAGGACCCTGGGCACCCAGTTTCAGAGAGAGAGAGACAGACCTGGGCAGACAGAGGAGGAGGAAGAAGGTGGAGACCAACTCCAGACCCACCGTCCCATCCAGGGCACCCACAAACCCTGGTGTGGAGTCCCCAGCACTGCATCCTCACGCCAGCACAATCACACAGCTAATTACTCTCAGGGACACACTGGCTTTCACGCCCACAGTCCCTCAGAACCCAGTCACCATCACCTAGATGCACCAGAAGGCACTGGGTCACAGTGGGAGTTACATGCACACAGTGGGACTGCTCACAGAGTTACACCCAGAGCCAGACAGAGACAGAGGAGGGGCCGAGAGTGGCCAGGGTTGGCTCCGGGCAGAGTCTACAGTGTGGCCCAGCAGAGGGTCTTGACCCTGATCCCGGTCACCTGCTCTGTTCCCTTGGGGTCACTGAGCCTCCCTGGGCCTCCCCAACCCCAGCTGCCTCTGCCCCAGCCCAGCCCAACTTTGGGAATCTTGGTCCAGAGGATGGGGGCAAGGGTCTTACTCAGCTCTGGATCCCATGGTCCTGCAGGCCTGCCAGCTGGGCCCTTTCCCCAGGGGTCCTGGGGGGCCTGTGCTGGCGCGAGGCTGGGCCCCAGCCGACTTAGCTTCCTGTGTGGCTCAGAGAGGAAGTTTGATGGGTGACGTCCCCAGAGGAGGCCCCTGCCCCCACCCCTGCGAGAGACCCAGGCATCCTGCCTCCTCACCTTCCCCAGGGTGGATAACAAGAGGCGGGGCAGCTCGGAGGCCAAAGCCTTGGCCCTGTCCTGCAGGCAGAGCCCACCTCGTCCCCACCACACACCCAGCCTAGGCTCCCCCTCAGCACTCCCAACCCTCATGGCAGCCGGGGATCCACAGCCCCAAAATGCCTGCCCTTCCTCTTCTCTCTTCTTTCTTGTGGTCCATTCACATAGGTATCCATTGTGGGACCACCTGAGGGAGCCAGCTGGAGAGTGGGCACAGGGACTGGGGATGTGGACAGCAGACGGTCAGGGCACGGTGAAGACAGATAGACATTGGACACACACAGCCAGGGCTGCCACTGCGACTCACAAAGACACAGAGAGACAATAAACATACACAGAGCCAGCACAGCCACTGGGACTCACAGACACAGTTAAAATACAGCACAGACAGATAGACAAGAGACAGACACACATAACCAGGGTGAGACTCAAAGACAGAGCATGAAGAGACAGACAGACACAAGGCAGCCATCAAGACTCACAGATACAGCCAGACAACAAACACACACAGAACCAAGACAGCCACCAGGACTTACAGATAGCCAAAGCACTGACAGACAGACAGACAGACAGACACACACACACGTACACAGAGTCACAGTAGTCACTGGGACTCACAAACACAGAATACAGCACAGACAGACAGATGGACAACACACACACACACACATACACATACAACCATGGTGAGACAGATACCATCAGAGCATGGACAGACAGCCAGACAGTCATTGAGACTCACAGGCAGACAATGAACACACTTAAACTACCACTGAGCTACTACTGCCCTGTCAGTGGCCTAGCCTGGTCGTCCTGATCCCAAGTTCCCCGACGCCTTCCCTAATGACCTGGCCCATCGGTGCCCACCCCATCCAGTAGGGGGAGCCCTCACTGCTGTGCTGTCTGTTCACAGGGAGTTGAAACATGAACTCCACAGAAAAGTGACAGGACAACAATGGATTTATTGATCGAGGGAGAGGCGGTGGGAACAGCTGGGGGCATAAGCTCTGTATCTCACAGCCTCCAGGCCTTCATTCCCTCCCAGCAACAAGGTAAGCCAAGGCGAGCAGAGGCTGAGGGGCGTGAGGTCAGGGATCAAGGCGGAGGCCAGAGCAGGGACAGGGTTAGAGGGAAGGTGGGGTTCCTGGGATCCGAGGGGGGCTAGTCAGAGGTGAAGTGAGGCTCACAAGGAGGGGTCAAAAGTAAACCAGGGCTTATAGGTTTGGAGGTGAGCTGCAGCTCATGGGGGTCAAGGTGAAGGATGAGTCAGGTAAAGTGGAGCTGACAGAATCAGAGATGTAGCAGGGCTCATGGCTGTCAACAGTGAAGAGGGGTCATGGAGGTCAGAGACAAAGTGAGGCTCAAGGGTCAGAGGTGGGCAAGGGTCAGAGGTGAAGTGAGGCTCTTGGGGGTCAGACTTGGGAAGGTGATGCTCCTAGGGTCACTGGGTTCATTTAATCAGAGGTGGTGGGGGCTGGAGGTGAAGTGGGGTTTGCAGGGGGATCAGCGTTGAAATTGGGTGCTAGAGGTCAAAGGGCAGAAGAGCAGGGAGAAAGTGGCTCTAGGCCACCTCCTCCTCCGCCTCCTCCTCGAACTCGCCCTCCTCGGCCGTGGCGTCCTGGTACTGCTGGTATTCGGACACCAGGTCGTTCATGTTGCTCTCGGCCTCGGTGAACTCCATCTCGTCCATGCCCTCGCCCGTGTACCAGTGCAGGAAGGCCTTGCGCCGGAACATGGCGGTGAACTGCTCCGAGATGCGCTTGAACAGCTCCTGGATGGCCGTGCTGTTGCCGATGAAGGTGGCCGCCATCTTGAGGCCGCGGGGCGGGATGTCGCACACGGCCGTCTTCACGTTGTTGGGGATCCACTCCACGAAGTAGCTGCTATTCTTGCTCTGCACGCTCAGCATCTGCTCGTCCACCTCCTTCATGGACATGCGGCCGCGGAAGACCGCAGCCACCGTCAGGTAGCGGCCGTGGCGTGGGTCGCAGGCTGCCATCATGTTCTTGGCATCGAACATCTGCTGGGTGAGCTCGGGCACCGTCAGGGCCCGGTACTGCTGGCTGCCGCGGCTGGTGAGCGGGGCGAAGCCGGGCATGAAGAAGTGGAGACGCGGGAAGGGCACCATGTTGACCGCCAGCTTGCGCAGGTCGGCGTTGAGCTGCCCGGGGAAGCGCAGGCAGGTGGTGACGCCGCTCATGGTGGCAGACACCAGGTGGTTGAGGTCCCCGTAGGTGGGCGTGGTCAGCTTGAGGGTGCGGAAGCAGATGTCGTAGAGGGCCTCGTTGTCGATGCAGTAGGTCTCGTCCGTGTTCTCCACCAGCTGGTGCACCGAGAGCGTGGCGTTGTAGGGCTCCACCACGGTGTCCGACACCTTGGGGGAAGGCACCACGCTGAAGGTGTTCATGATACGGTCCGGGAACTCCTCGCGGATCTTGCTGATAAGCAGCGTGCCCATGCCGGAGCCCGTGCCCCCGCCCAGCGAATGGGTCAGCTGGAAGCCCTGCAGGCAGTCACAGCTCTCTGCCTCCTTCCGGACCACGTCTAGGACGGCGTCCACCAGCTCCGCGCCCTCTGTGTAGTGGCCCTTGGCCCAGTTGTTGCCGGCTCCGGACTGGCCTGAAGAAGGGAGCAGGGGACACATGGGCAGTTACGGGGAGCACTCACCCTCCAGCTCATCCCTGGCTACCAACCTGAAGGGCCCCTAAAAAAATAAATAAACAGAACAAACCCATTGGCCCGGAGCAGATTCTGACTTAGACCACCCTGCCCATTACAGAGAAGCACTGGCCCAGAGGGTTTCCAAGGCTGTCGACCTTTTCGGAAGCAAAGCCCAAACCAAACCCACTGCCTTGGAGTTGATTCCAATTCACAGTGCCCCTAGAGGACAGAGTGGAAGAGCCCCACAGGGTTTCCAAGGCTGTCGATCTTTACCAGAAGAGATCACTAGATCTTTCTCTTGCCGAGCAGTTGATGGGTTCAAACAGTCATGGTTTTGGTTAGCAGCTGAGAGTTTCACCACTGTGTCACCAGGGCTCCTTGGAGGGACCCTAGTCGTTGTATAACAACAATAATGATAATAATAACAATAGCACAATA